ATGCCCTACCGCACACCCAAAGAACGCACCCACCGCTGGCTCACGCTCTACCAACTCGGAGCAGCCCTCATCATCGCGTTCGTCATCGTCTCCCTCTTCGACTTCATCCTCCTCCACGCTCTCTGCGACATCGACCCCGAAACAGGACGCGTCGACCGCTCATTCGAATCCGACGACTGGTACACCCTCCTCCGCAACATCGGATTCCTCGGCACATGGATCATCGCATCCCTCGCGTTCCTCCTCACCGACCTCAAAACAAAGAACAGAACCAAACGAGCGATCCCGATCCTCATCGCGCCAGCACTCGCGGGACTCGCCGCCGAACTCCTCAAACTCGTCTTCGCGCGCGAGCGCCCCGTCTCCGACGCGATCATCCAAGACGGCGGCTACCACTTCCGCTTCCCATTCTCCGGATTCATCGACGGCTCAAACCTGGGACTCCCCTCAAGCCACACCGCCGTTGCCTTCGGAGGATGCTGCATCCTCACATTCTTCCTCCCCAAACTCCGCATCCTCCTCATCGCCCTCGCGCTCGGATGCGGCTACTCCCGAATGATCAGCGGCGCCCACTTCGCCTCCGATGTTTTCCTCGGCGCCATCGTCGGATACGCGATCGCCAAATGGATCGCATCCTCCCTCCCAAGACCAGACCGCAAGTTCACCCTCTAAATACTCTTCCCCCTCTCCCTCGGGGAGAGGACCGGGGTGAGGGCTCTTCGCTCTTCACACCCTATCATCCCACCAGATGTCCCTCCTCGAACGCTACATCGCGCGCCAGTTCCTGACCAACGTGGTCCTGCTCTTCGTCATCCTCTTCTCCTTCATCGTCGTCATCGACGTCTCCCTCAATATCGACCAGTTCCTCGACATGGCCAAACGCCTCGGAACCCAGAGCACCGACCAAGACCCCGGCACCATCCGCAAGTCCGTCCTCTCCATCCTCCTCATCGCCGATCTGTGGTGGCCAAAGCTCCTCCAGCTCTACAACTTCCTCCTCGGAATGGTCATGGTCGGCGCCATGGGATTCACCTTCGCCCAGATGTCCAAGAACCGCGAGCTCATCGCGCTCATGGCCGCCGGAATCGGACTCCACCGAATCATCAAACCCGTCCTCATCGTCGCGATCGGACTCACCGCGCTCCAGCTCGTCAACCAGGAACTCATCATCCCGCGCATCGCCCCATTGCTCGTCCGCGACCATGAAGACGCCGGGAACCACAAGCTCTCCGTAGACACCGTCCCCCTCACCGCCGACGGATCGGGTCGCCTCTTCCGCGCCGCCGCCTTCGACGCCAACACCAACACCCTTGAGGGCCTCTACATCCTCGAGCGCGACGACAACGGCCACACCTCCCGATCCATCACCGCACAATCCGCCACCTACCGACAAGGCGGATGGGACCTCGACAACGCCACCGCGCAAACCCGCACCCAAACCACCGTCGGCATCCCAACCCCCATCGACCGCATCGAGTCCTCCCTCGACCCCAACGAGCTCCGCATCAACCGCTACGAGTCCTACTCCCAAGCATTGTCCTTCGCCCAAGCCCGAGAGATGCTCAGCCGCGAAACCCTCAAAGACCCCAAGAAACGCGCCAAGTACGAACGCATCGCGCTCGGACGCTTCTCCATGATGATCTCAGGGATCCTCACCCTCATCATCGCGACCCCCTTCTACGCGACGCGTGAACCCAAGAACATGGTCATCCAGTCCATCCGCTGCGCCCCCATTGCGATCATCACCCTCATCGCCGGAGTCATCGGCGCCACCGCCGCCATCCCCGGACTCCCCACCACCATCGGCGTCTTCATCCCCGTCATGATCCTCTCCGTCGTCGCCGTTGCACAGTTCAGCGCCCTCAAGACCTGAGCCCGCCCATTTCCTTCCTAGAATCTGAACGAAACGCACTTGCAATGCAAGCACGCTTCGCCCACAATGGCGCTAAACGAAGGGCAAACCCATGGCATCCATCAACTTCTACTTCCAAGTCCACCAGCCCCACCGCCTCAAGCCCTACTCCGTCTTCCACACCGACCCCTTCTACTTCGACGAAGACGCCAACGGCGAAATCTGCAACAAAGTCGCCGACAAGTGCTACCGCCCCACCACCAAACTCATGCTCGACCTCGTGCGCAAACACGAGGGCAACTTCCGCCTCTCCTACGCGATCACCGGGACCGTCATCGACCAGTGGAAAAAGTTCTGCCCCGATGTCCTCGACCTCTTCGTCCAGCTCGCCGAAACAGGCTGCTGCGAGTTCGTCGCCGAGACCTACTTCCACTCCCTGAGCTACATCTACTCCCAGGAAGAGTTCGCCCACCAGGTCGATATGCACACCAAGCTCATCGAGGAACACTTCGGACAAACCCCAACCGTGTTCCGCAACACCGAGCTGATCTACACCAACGAACTCTCTAAAGCCCTCGCCCAAATCAAAGACAAACAAGGCAACCCAAGATTCCTGGGAACCATCTGCGAGGGAACCGACCGCCACCTCGGATACCGCTCCCCCAACTACGTCTACCGCCCCCCCAACGACGAGCAAGGCAACCCGCTCCTCGGACCCAACAACCGCCCCTTCGGACTCCTCCTCAAAAACTACAAACTCTCCGACGACATCGCCTTCCGCTTCTCCAACAAGGGCTGGGAAGAGTGGCCGCTGACCACCGAAAAATTCGCCAAATGGGTCCACGACATCAACGGCGACGGATACCTCTGCAACCTCTTCATGGACTACGAAACCTTCGGCGAACACCAATGGGAAGACACCGGGATCTTCAACTTCATGCAAAAACTCCCCGAAGCCATCTTCGACGTCGCCCACAAAGCCGACGGCACCACCGAAAACCACTTCACCACACCAAGTGAAGCACTCAAACGATTCGACCCCGTCGGAGTCTACGACGTCCCCGAGTTCATCTCCTGGGCCGACACCGAACGCGACCTCTCCGCATGGCGCGGCAACGACATGCAGCACAACGCGCTCGAAGAAACCTACAAAGTCGAAGCACACATCAAAGAACGACTCATCGAAGTCAAAGCCTCAGGCGACACCAAACGCGAAATCGAGATGGAACACATCATCAACGACTGGCGCAAACTCACCACCAGCGACCACTTCTATTACATGTGCACCAAATACTGGGCCGACGGCGACGTCCACAAATACTTCTCCCCCTACGACTCCCCATACGACGGCTACATCAACTTCATGAACGTCCTCGACAATGTCAAAACCCGCATCGCCAAAGCTTAAGCTGGACTAAATAAACCCCTAGTACCGCCTAAATCTTCGCGCAGCGCAATATCACAAAACTTGAGACCGAGTTTGTGCTTACTTGCGTATACAAGCCGAAACGCGTCTCCCCCAGGACCTTTAAGAGGCCAGTGCCGAGTATGCGTGTAACCTAACTTTCCCAAATTGGATATGTATTCCTCAGCAAAAAACTGACGGACGGTTGGCCCGTCGAGCTTATCCAGTTTTCCGAATTCCTCACGCCATCCAGTATCACCAAGCATCTTATCGAGTTTCGTTTCTTCACTTGATGGATAGTAGTATTTATGAACATTTCGCCCAAGATCAAATCTATCTGAGAATAGAATGATCAAATCCATTGGCTTATTTGCTGCCAATTTCTGAATGGTCTGGTAGTGGATATCCAATGAGAATGGATCGATAAATGCAATACCCAGTGATCGCTTTGGAATTTTATCAATCACTTGATCAATTGCTTGGTTACAATCAGCGCAGACAAACTGGGCTCGCCCTTTGTACCCAGTAGATCGAACGCGTTCTTGGACTGATTCAATTACACTCGAACTAGAATCTACAAGTATTAGGTTCTCAAAACCATCGTCTATCGATGCTGCAATAACTGGTGACCCAGGAAACTTTCTCTCTACACCATCAACCAAAGCCGCTGAAGACCCTGCTCCGCAAAACAAATCTATGTAGCAAAGTCCGCCTGGAAACTTAGCATGATTTTTCATGCCACGAACCACTTGAACAAGATAATTGCAAACGAAGAATAGTTTGTGTGCGGTCCACTCGCCCTTAGATGTGAATGAAACTGAAAAATCGTCAGCACGAACTTGCGCTACCAGCTGATCCCATAGTTCACGACCGTAGTTCTTCGCCAACAGCTTTCTCCGGCATCTCGTCCCAAGTCTGACCATCAAGCTCTCGGCCAGATTCCTTCTTCCGAACACCGCCCCACTGCTTGAAGAAGAACGGAACATCCTTGCGCTCGCACTGTTCCTTAATCTGGACCACCCAACTCCCAGCCATAGGTCTTGAGCCAGGTCCAGATTCACCTCCAACGATCACCCAATGGATCCCCTTGAGCGGAATCCGTGGCAACGGCCCAAGCAGCGGTTCACAAGAAAGGAACCGCACTTGAGCGGGGATGCGTTGAAGCAGCCGAACTCGCTCATAATACTCTTTTGATTCAACACTTGTACCCATCCATACATTACTTGGCCAATTTAATTGATCAGCATAGTCGTATGCTATCTCAGGTCGCTTAGTAAGCACCTGAAATGTGTGTTGTGGACACCGTTCCATAACATCAAACACTTGCTCAATGAACTCAAACGGCACATCTTCGTGGAATAGATCACTCATCGAGTTCACAAAGATAATTCTTGGAAGCCTCCAAGAGAGAGGTGTCTCCAGAGACTTGTAATCAAGCGTAATTTTACCATTAAACACCGGACGGCCTGAACGCAGCTTCTTCGCAAGCCCCGCATATTTCTTACCAGTCGTGTTTGGCATTGACCCAAGACGCAACGACATCCGAGCCGCATAACAGTTGTGACAACCAGGAGACACAGGAGTACACCCAGCAACAGGATTCCATGTTGCTTCTGTCCATTCAATTGAAGAACCTACAGCCATAGTGACATCTCCTCGACTGAAATTATACCACAATTGCAGACAAATACCAAACAATAATTTGTTCATCGTCGAAACGGACTGCCACACTGGAATAATGATCTACCGCTCAACAACCCGCCGAAGCGCCCCCTGCACCATCCGCCCGACATGCATACCAGGCGTCCCCATCTCCTCCCCAAGCTCCCCAAGCGTCCAAGGCCGCTCGCCCCCAAGCCCGTACCGGCGCATCAACAAAACCCGATCCGAATCACTCACCCCCTCCAGCGCCCCATCACCAAGCACCTCAGGACGCAGCCACCACCATCGCGCCCACATGCTCCGCGTCCAGTCCTTGACTTCAAAGCCCGTGATCAACCGCCGACCCGCCTTCCCTTCTGTCACAGGCACCGCAACATCGTCTAGATGCGCACACCACCGCGCCATCGCCAAACCCACCGGCGCCGCCAATCTCCTATTACCCGCCCCGTCAAACCGCTCGATCACCCCGTGCACCACACTGATCGCATCGCTCAGCACCTCCGCAACGCGCCCCGGCGCGAGCGTATCAATCGGCCCCCCGATCCGCTCCTCGATCGTCGACAACATCAACCCAAGCTGCGTCCCCGCCAGCTCGATCCGCAGCAGCATCATCCACCGCATCGCCGTCTCGATCTCATCAAGCACGCGACCAGAAGGCGTCGAAGGATGCAGCTCCGAACACAGCCGCTCAACGCGCCCCCTGAGTACCCCCACCGCTCGCGCCCGTGCCGACTGCTCATACACGACCGCCGCGTGCCGCTCGCGCATCTGACCGATCAACCCCGCCAAATCCCGCGCCCCGCGCGTCGTAAACCCCGATCGGACCACTTCCTCACCAAGCACCGCGTCATCGAGCTCGTGATCAAGCTCGACCGCCGACACCCCGAACCCAGAATCCAGAATCAGTCCCCGCCGCGCCCGATTCACCCCTCGGCTCACCGACATCGCGCTGCGCCCGAACCGCGCCCCGATCGTCCCACTCCGCTTGCCACGCAGCGACTCGCGCAGCATTTCCATTTGCTCCGCATCATCCGCAACACCAACCATCCGAAAGATCCGCTCGCCTTTGGGCACCTGCTCATCATGCTGAACCAACACCAGCCGAACACTTTCCATCGAGCGCCCGATCCGCTGAGCGATCCGCTCGCACACCCGCGACCGATTCCATCCCAGCCGCGCGACATACCGCTCCGCATCATGCACAATCTTGGCGCGCATCGCATCGCTCATCCGAGAGAAGCCCGCCGCGTTCCCAAGCCGCTCTGCATGCCGCTGCTCGAACCACTCCACGGCATCCCGCATAAACACCACCGCGCGATGCCCGCTCCCACGATCCACCCGCCGCGCTACCAATCCCTTGCGCCGATATCGCTCAACAGTTTTCCTGCTCACCCCCCAACGCTCCGCGAGCCCATCAATCGTCCAGTGATCCTCGCCCGCAACCCCCACATCCGATTCGGTAATCTTCGCCGACTCGCTGATCCGCTCCGCGAGCGCCGAAAGATCACCGAGCACTGCCGCGCCTGGAACCATCTCATCAAGCTCTCCCGTACCAAGCTCCTGCGCGCGATACCCCGTCACGCGGAACACCAAGAACTCCGCCGGATACACCCCGTCCACCTCGATCCCCGGCGCCAGCCCCTCGATCCGCTCGAGATGGCGCACCAATGTCGCCTTGCCAGCAAAGCGCAGCTCCGCCGCCAGCGCTTCGATCACCCCTGTCCGTATCGCGCTCAGCGCCGGCACGACGCCCCCTCTTCAGCTCGGCGCACCCCTTCCCCCAACTCCATCCAGCGCACATCGCACTGCTCAACCAATCCAGCGTCTGCCGCGCGATCAAGGAACACCCCAGCCGCTTCACGCGCACGCTCATCCACCTTGAACCGCAACAACTCGCCGATATACCGCCGCGCCAAATCCGTAGGCCAACCCGAATGCTTCGCATGATTCATCACAATCCAGTCCAGCCGCATCCGATTCCGCAGCATCATCCGCTCGAGCACCAGCGCCCCCGCTCGTATCTCAGCACCAGTTTCCTCATCCGCCAGCCGATCCGCACGACACATCCACACCGCGTACACAAACGGCAGACCAGTCATCTCACCCCACGCCTCCCCAAGATCCACCTGATACGGATACCGCACCGCCGCCGGAGATCCCGTCACCACCTTGTCCCCAATCATCAACACCGCCTCAGGCCAACCATCCGATTCCGGATCAATCGAACCCTCACTATCCCCGCTCGCCACGCGTTCGCGCACATCAAAGTCCACAATCTTCGCCCGCACGCCGCGCTCGCGCAGCACCAGATCACACAGCACCACCGAAGTGTGCGAATCCGTGTCCGCATGAACCACCGTGATTTCTTCAATCGGAACCGACGAGAACAGCCGCACAGTCAGCGTCGGACCATCACACCCGATCATCCCCGCAGGGACCATGACCAATCCCCCACCATCACAATCTTTGAACTTCGCGAAGTCCACCACCGACGCGAGCCCCAGATCCGCTTCCCCCCTCGCAACCATCCCCCCAATCCCCGCCGGAACACTCCGGACCATCTCACAGCCCGCCCACGCATCGAGCCCCTCGATCAACGGAGCCGTATTCAGATAGCTCACCGCCGCAACCTTCAGCATCACAAACCTTCCATTTCACCCTAAAAACCGAGTGCAATTACCCCGTTTACCAGCATCATTGGGGCCATCCACCACCCAACAAAGCGCTTTCAGAGCCAACTTTCTGAAAATTGCCCCTATAAACCGCACGATTCGGTGGCCAGTACCCGCAAAATCTGTACATTTCACCAAGGAAGCACCAAGCACACGCTCGGACGCTCCACAAAACACTCGGCCCCCGCGACTTTCATCCAAACAAGCCGCAACAGCCGATACAACAGGCCCGTCTCTCTTGCAAAAGGGCCGACATATAGGGTAGAAGCTCAAATCTGGTGGGAGTGAGATCAGAACTTCGGCTGTTGAGGAGACAGCCAACCGAGCTACGAAAGCACGACTTTCCTACCCACCCGGCGTCGGGTTGCGCTACAGCCCGGCGTCGCATTCAAGACCGATCCGCACTCCCGGATCGGTCTTCTTTTTTTTTCCTCCATCCACCTCTCTCATCGCCGATAAACAACCCATGCCCACCCCACCCACTATCCTCATCGGCGCCGGCGGACACGCCGCCGTCACACTCCAAACCACACACCAACTCAACCTCCCCATCGCAGGCATCTACGACGACAACCCAAACGCCAAACTCCTCCACCGCCCCCCTCCGCCAAACCCGCCGACCTATCTCGGATCGATCGACGACTTCATCAACCACCAACCCGCGCGTTGGATCCTCGCGATCGGTGACCTCGCCGCGCGCCGGCGCATCCTCGATGAATACAACGAAGCCGCCTCCCCACCCATCATCCACCCCACCGCGATCATCTCTCCAGACGCCGAGCTCGAAGAAGGCGTCTTCGTCGCTCCCGGCGCGATCATCCACACCGGCGCCAAAGTCCGCGCCCACGCGATCATTAACACCGGCGCGATCATCGAGCACGACTGCATCATCCACGAGAACACACACATCGCGCCAGGCGTCACACTCGGAGGCGCCACCATCGTCCACAACGATACCCTCATCGGGATCGGATCCACCGTCCTCCCCAACACCACCATCGAACACCACTGCACCATCGGCGCCGGATCAGTCGTCATCCGAGACATCCCGCCCAACACCACCGCCGCCGGGAATCCCGCGCGTGCACTCAGCACCAACCACTCAAAATATTGATCACCGATCGCGCAGCTCAGCAGCGCGATCAATCAGCGCATCGCGATCCCCCGCGATCTCGTCCGTCGCCGTCAGCACAAAGTGCCAGCGATTGACCGACTCAAAGTCGATCGGTACCGCCGTCGCCGCAAGATCCACGATCGGATACTCGTAGATCGGCGCCTTCATCACCCGCCCCTCATGGATCGGCTCATACCCATCCAGCGCCAACCGCACATCGTACTTGCCGTAGTAAGTAAACCCCGCCTCGCAAGGCGTCACCCCGATCAGCTCATCATTCAACCACACCCGCGCCCCGCTGGGATCACTCGTCACCTCAACACGGCGCTCCACACACCCCCCCACCCCCCCAAAGGTGAAGAGCACGCCAAGCGTACCAGCCGACAAAATCCTGCGTGCATTACTCACGGCGTGCCCCCTCCTCAAGCTCCCGCCGCTCGTACTCGCTCTCATCAAACTCGTCACCGCGGAACATCGAACCCAGATACGCACGACGAACCAGATCCGAGTTGATCAGCTGCTTCGGAGTCCCCTCCGCGAGCACCTTCCCCGAATCCAGAATGTACGCACGATCACACACACGCAGCGTCTGCTGCACATTGTGATCCGTAATCAGAATCGAAATCCCCCGCTGCGTCAGCGCCCGAATCTCATCCTGCAGATCCTCCACCGCGATCGGATCCACCCCACTAAACGGCTCATCAAGCAGAATCAACTTCGGATTCGTCACCAAAGACCGCGCAATCTCAAGCTTCCGGCGCTCGCCACCAGAACACGTCCGCGCCGCATCGTTCGCTTTGTGACTCAGACCAAACTGACCGAGCAGATCCGCCGCCTTGCGCTTGCGCTCCTTCCGCGAAAGCTTGAGCGTCTCCAAAATCGCCATCAGATTCTGCTCACACGTGAGCCGACCAAACACGCTCGGCTCCTGCGACAGATACCCCATCCCCAACCGAGCATGCCGATACATCGGGAGCCCCGTCACCTCGGTGTTATTAAAGATCACCCGCCCATCATCACGCTCGATCATCCCGATCGTCATCCGGAACGTCGTCGTCTTCCCCGCCCCGTTGCGCCCAAGCAGCCCCACGATCTCCGAGTGCTCGACCTCCAGCGACACCCCGTCCACCACGGTGCGCCCGCCGTACGCCTTCCTCAGATTGATCGCTTCAAGCAACGACATCCAGATAGTCTAGGTCTCGTGCCCGAATCGATCATGGACACCCACCAGAGAACTCAGACAGGAACGCACTGACATCCAGAAAGTTGAGCATCCCATCGGACGAAAAGTCCGCAACAAGATCGCCGCTCCCATAAGCCGCCAAAAACGCGCTCACATCCAAAAAATTCAGATCCCCCTCACCAGTCAGATCCGCTGCACACACACCCGCACACTCATCACGAGCATCAAGAATCTTGAGCCCCTCAAACAATCCCGCGACATACAACCGATCCCCCACAACTTCACCCGCATACCCGTTCGTTTCAGTCATTCCTATGAGCACGGGCATTGTCGGATCCGAAAAATCGTACACCTCAGTGTGAGTCCCAATCCCCATGCTCACAAACACCGTGTCACCCCTAACAACGAGCTGCGAAGGGATCCCAAGACTCGGCTCCACGCTCCCCAACACAATCGGTGCCGATGGATCACTCACATCCACCGCGAACACCCGAAAGTCATACGGATCAATCCCGTAAAGCACCGATCCCACCACCACAGGCTCGGCAAGCAGATGTGTACTACCCAACGACACCGGCGCCGGAGTACTCACATCAATCAGCTCCATACCAATGTTGAAAAACCCAACATACGCAATGCTGCTCTCAACACGCACATCGTTGAAATACCCCGTTGCCGAATGGTTTGATTTATATGGACTACCGTAACCATACATCAAATCAAATATGTACAAACCATTCTTCGCCGCCGCAAAGTACGCGAACTCCCCCTCTACATCCATGTCGTTCATCCGTCCCGCGATGGAGTGCCGCTCGACAAGCACCGGAGTCGTGGGGATGCTGACATCCACAACATGAAAATATGACCTCCGCCCATCGTCGTCATATGTGCGCACATACACCACGCCCCCATCCTCCACAACCTACTGCGCCGGAAACTCTGTTTCATACGAACCAACAACCGCAGGCAGCAAAGGATCACTCACATCAATCACATCCATCCCCCCACCACTCGATCGCGTCACGTACGCGTAGCCATCAAGCACCACGACACTACTCACCCAGCCGCCCGTATCGACGAGCCCCAGCTCATCCAACTCGATGCAATCCTCCCCACCAGACACACTTGCAACCAACCAACAAGCAGAAATAAGACAAATCATAAACTTCATTTTGGACTCCTCATAACAGAATCCACCAAGCATAACCCAATCGAAGCACCCCCACAATCAAAAACTGAGCCCAAAATCAGATCGGAGCTGAACACAAAGGAAGTTAAGGACACCCACCGGAGAACTCCGACAGGAACGCGCTCACATCCAAAAAGTTAAACGAGCCGTCCATCGTAAAGTCCGCCCTCGGATCCTGAGCACTAAAGAGCGACAGGAACTCCGACACATCGAGGAAGTTAAGCTGACAATCCCCGTTCATGTCCGAGAGGCACTCGCTCAGATTCAGGTTCACCAACTGGATCCCTGAAAACAAATCCCCGATGCACGCGACCGATCCAGCAACCCCAACGCCGAACGCGTTGCCCGCCGTGTCGTATTCACCAATCACAGCAAGATTCATCGGATCACTCGCATCCAAGATCGTCAACCCATCACTGTTGTTCCCGGCAAACACCAGCGATCCCTGCGCCGTCACCGAGCGAGGACTACCGATGTCCAGACTATTCATCAGGACCGGAGCCGCGGGATTGCTCGCGTCAATCACGCTCACCCCATCCACCGAATCCGCGAGGAACACAACACTCCCATCATGATCCACCGATGCCCCAAATGCCCCGACACCCGCGAGCCCCCCAACCCGGCTCATCGACGACGGATCACTCACATCCACGATCTCAAAGCTCCCGCCGTTCCCCGCCGCGAGATACGCAGAATCCCCCTCGACCGCCACATCGAGCACAAACGCACCACCAGGAATCACATACTGACCGATCTGCGTGATCGATCCGAGCAGCGTCGCGTCAAGCACCACAAGCCCGTTCTCCCGATCCGCGAGATACACAGTCGTCCCCACCACATCAATCCCAAACGCGCGCCCGCCCGTCACAAAGCTCCCAACAAGCGCGAGCGACCCGTCAACACCAACATCAAACACCAGCAGCCCACCCGCATCATCCGCAAGATACAACAAGTCCCCAACCAAGCGAAGGTCAATCGCATTCCCCGTTGTATCAAACGAATCAGTCATCATCGGATTCGACAGATCACTGATATCAAACGCGACCAACCCCGCCGCACCATCCGCGACATACAAGTAGTCCCCATCGATCACGCTCGCCCGCGACGACCCCGCCGTATCAAACGAGCCCGCAAGCTCAGGGAATATACAAGGCACATCCCCAGCGACAACAGTCCCAGACACCCCCGCCATCAATTCCAACATCAAAGAAAGCCGCGCACAATCCCGCATACCAAATCGTCTCATCACATCCCTCCATTCCAGCATGGAATCAACACATCCACGCAATACCAAAACTATATTCTCGACCATAAATAATATGGAGTAAATTATCCATTATTTACACAGAACCCCCCAACCCAAGGCCGATAAGCACGCCCGCCAACTCCGCGCAACTCTCGTACAAGACCCTCACCCCGATCCCATGCATACTCCACCTGCACACACCCCAAGCCGCAAAGGAGTTCCCATGCGCCCCATCACCACCACGCTCATCCTCATCTCCGCCGCATCCGCATCAATCACCCGCGCCGAGCTCGTCTACTCCCAGACCCTCGCCAATCTCGACTCCACCGATTTCGGATGGTACAGCTCATCCGAGCCGCGCCCCACACGCAACTTCAAGCACGCCGACAACTTCACCCTCTCAGCCCAGTCCCACATCTCCCAGATCAACTGGTGGGGAATGACCGAAGGCGTATCCCACACCGACCTCCAGAACTTCGACCAGTTCCAGATCGAGTTCTACACCTCACGCACGACCAACAACAACCGCATCAAGCCCGACACCCTCATCGCGTCCCAGACCTTCGACCTCGCGAGCATCACCACCATCGACACAGGACACCAAACCGCCGCTGGCGCAATCAAGTTCCAGCACCAAGCCACGCTCACAAACGCCGTCGCCCTCGACGCCAACACCACCTACTGGATCGCGATCAGCGCCCGCTCCATCGACCCCACTGCCGACACCTGGCAATGGCTCGACTCCGATCCCACCGACACAGATTCAAGCAGCTACGACTACAACACCGACCGCTGGCTCGCCTTCCGAGACACCGACAGCGCCTTCCAGCTCTTCGCGATCCCTACGCCCGCCACAACCTCACTCTTGCTGCTGACCCCGATCGCCGCGCGCCGCCGCAGACCACTCACCCCTTAAGCGAAGCCCGATACACGCTCGGCGTCACCCCATACAACCCACCAAACACCCTCGTCAAGTGCGCCTGATCCGCGAACCCCGCCCCCTGCGCCACCCGCGCGATCGACTCGTCCGTCCCCGCAAGCGCCCGAGCCGCGCGTGCAACGCGGACCCGCCGATGGTACTCCCCCGTCGTCATCCCCACCGACGCCTTAAACCCCCGCGCCAGATGCCCCCTGCTCACCCCAGCAACCGCGCTCAGCTCATCGAGTGATACCGACCGATCATGCACATCGTGCAGATAGTCCCGCACCACCCCGACCCATCCCGCGCGTCCGCCGTGCACCTCGACACCCGACACCGCATCAAGCATCTCATGCGCCAGCGACTCCATCACCAATCCCGACGACCGATCCGCCGAACTCAGCTCCCTCAGCACCCGCAGCGCCATCCCGACGATCCGCGTGCAGTCCAGCTCCTGAACAACGACCTCGCGCAGCCCCCTGTTCTCCCGAAGCACCCCAGCCGGGATCACCACATGCATCGTCCGGATCCCGCGCGCCCCAGAAACAAACTTGTGCCGCATCCCATCCCGAAAGAAACCCACCAACCCCGGACGCGATCGCACCTCGCGCCCGTGGTACACCCCCTCGCCGCCCCCCGCGAGCACCATGTCAATACTCCCGGCCGGATGCTCGTGCCACGTCTGCGAAAAATCATGCGTGTACGACTTGTGCGTAAACGAGAACCCACCCGCATCCACCCGCGAGATCACGCGCGCAAAACCACCAAGATCAGCCTCTGCCCGTGGAAGAATCACACCGCTCTATTCGAGCGCTGCCCTGTTTGGTTCCGATCCGATAAAGAGCCCCACCAACTGCTCTACTTCCCGAACTGCTTCCGCATCCGCGCCGTCGGGATCCCCAGCTGATCGCGATATTTCGCGACCGTCCGCCGCGCGATCTCGATCCCCCGCTCCTTGAGCGCCTTGACCATCGCCTCGTCGCTCATCGGCTTCGCCTTGTTCTCGTTCTCAATCAACTCCTCGATCGCCGCGCGCACCGCATTGGCGCTCACATCCTCGCCGCTCTCCGTGCTCAAGCCACCGCTAAAGAACGACCGCAGCGCCACCACCCCGCGTGGAGTCATGATGTACTTCTCGCTCACCGCGCGCGACACCGTCGCGACATGGATCCCCAACCGATCCGCGATCGGCTGCATCGGGAGCGGCTTGAGCGCCTCAGGACCAAAGTCAAAGTACTCCCGCTGCTCGTCCACCACCGCGTTAATCACGCGAAGCAGCGTGTGCCGCCGCTGACCGATCGCATCAATCAACCACTGCGCGTTCGACAAGTTCTTCTTCAGAAAGTCCCGATCCCCCTTCTGCACATCGTTGTCCATCGCCATCTCCGCGTACGCGCGATTGATCCGCACATCAGGGAGCCGCCCGTCCGTCAGGTACGCGATGTACCGATCCCCATCCTCGTCGTACTCCACCACCGCATCGGGATACACCGAGGTCTGCTCCCCCGCCGACATCCCGCGCCCAGGCGACAACGACAGCCGCTTGAGCACCCCAAGCCCCATATTGATCTCATCAAGCGTCAGCCCCGCCTTGCCCGCGATCTTGGGGAGCCGATTCTTCATCATGTCCTCGAAGAACTCACCAACAAGCCGTCTTGCGATCAGCAGCCCCTCGCCATCAAGCTCAACCTCATCCCGATCATCAAAGGATTCCACCCGATCAAGCCGCGCATCGATCTGGATCAACAAACACTCGCGCGCATCCCGCGCCCCGATCCCGATCGGATCAAGCGACAGCTGCATCGACTGCAGCGCCATCTCCCAGTCCGCCTCGCTCGGATCAAGCGCCTTAATCTCCTCGCCCGCGCGATCCGCGATCTCCTCAAACGAGCTCCGCAGATACCCATCATCATCAAGCTCCTCGATCAGCACCTCCCCAAGCGTGCGGATCCGATCATCCACATCGCACAGCGACCACTGATCCCCGAGCTGCTCGCTCATCGAAGCGCCCCGCGCCGGCGCCTGCGCCATCGCCTCAAACTTCGAGTCCGGATCCCCCCCACTCCGCAGCCCCGAATAATCCTCACCCCGCACCCGATCCTTCGACGCCGAGAACATGTTCTCCGCCGCCTCCGGATTCGCGTCCGTGTACTCCTCCAATCGAGCAAAGTCGTCCGCACTCTCCGGCTCAATATCCAGCGCCCCATCACTGACCGACTGATCACCCCGATCAACCACTCCCCCATCACCCCCACCATCGACCTCCACAATCTCCATCGTCGGATTCGACTCAAGCTCCTGCTCAAGCCGCTCGTGAAGCTCCGCCAAAGGCATCTGCAGAATCTCCATCGACTGGATCATCCGAGGCGACAGCTTCATCTGCTGCCCAAGCTTCATCTGTTGTGAAGTATCAAAACGCATACAACAACCCGTAACCATCCATCGTGCATGCAAACCACATGCCACAATCAACAGTCCATTCTATTCCATCGACAAACCAGCCGTTTTTCGATCAATCCCGACCCACCAAACACCCACCCGATCCGCTCTCCTCCCCCGCGCTGACTTTGGGGGGCAGGGAGTTGTCGCACAGCGACGGATGGGGCCTCATCCCTTCAAAAAAAGACCCCAGCCATCAAGCCAGGGTCCTTCAACTCTAAAGCATCACCCAACCCTACTTCTCAACACTCAGCACACGAAGCCCACCCTTCGCATCCGCGACAAAGACCGCGTCCTCAAGCACCGCGACATCAAACGCGCGATCAACCGTGTCGCAGTTCCCAGCGATCTCCGCGTGATCCGCATGCTTGACATCAACCACAACCACACCCGACTCCAGATCAGCAACATACGCACGATTACCCACAACATGCACATCCATCGCAAACCCGTCCGTATCCACGCTCGCCACCAGCTCCGGATGCGCCGAGTCTGAAACATCAACAATCTGCAGCCCCGAGAGCTTGTCAGCAACATACGCCGTCGTACCAACAACATGCACACCAAACGCTTCGCCCGGAGTATCCATCGTCCCGAGATGACCAATATGTTCTGGATCACTCACATCAAGAATCAACAAGCCAACCCGGCGACTCGCGACATACGCCGTCGTCCCCACCACGTGCACCGACGGAGCTTCCACACTACTCCGGAACTGATCCATCAAGCGAGGCTGCGTCGGATCCGAAACATCCAAGGTCTGCAATCCACCAAAGCCCGATACATACGCCGTGCTGCCAACCACGTCGATGCCCTTCACCTCTTTGAGCCCGTCATGAAACCCAACAAGCAGTGGCGACGAGGGATCACGCACATCCACAATCTGCAATCCACCAAACCCACCAGCGATATACGCCATCCCACCAACAACCCGCACTTCATTCGCCGTGCCCTCAAGCACTAGCGAACCAACCTTCACCGGACGCTCCGGAACTCGGATATCGAATATCTCAAGCCCCGCAAAGTCCGCGACATACGCATAAGGACCAACAACCTCAATCCCCGCGGCATACCCCGTCGTCTCCGCAAACGCGACCTCAAGCACCTCAACCGGATCGTGCGCCCCAGCCACCGAACAAACCAAACCAACTCCAAGCACCACACTCAACACTGAACGATTCAACATAAAGAACTCCTTACATATGTATATATAAACAAACCCCAGTGTACCAAAGTACACCGATCACACAACCCAAAACGAAAACCATTCCAAACCGTTTACATCGACTGCCGCCCCAGCAGCGCATCTCCCAGCACTGCCTTGTTCGCAAACTCCAGCGAGCTCCCCGTCGGAACCCCGCGCGCCAGCCGCGTCACCTTCACCCCATACTTACTCAGCGCGTCCGCGAGATACAACGCCGTCCCGTCCCCCTCCAGCGTCGGATTCAGACCAAGCACAACTTCCTCAATCCGCACGCGCCCGTCACCATCGCCCGCCTGCTGGGATCGCTGCAAACGATTGAACAAATGATCAACCGTCAGATCCTCCGCCTCCACCCCGTCCAGCGGCGACAACCTCCCCATCAGCACGTGATACAACCCCTTGTACATCCCCGTCTGCTCCAGCGCAATCAAATCCTTCGGCTGCTCAACCACACACACCAACGACCGATCCCGCTTGGGATCGCTGCACACCCCGCACACATCGCCGTCCGACAGATTGAAACACACCCTGCAGTGCCGGACTGATTCCTTCACCGCGCGGATCGCCTCCGCGATCGCGACCGCCTCGCCCTTCTCCGACTTCAGAATATGAAACGCGAGCCGCTCCGCCGATCGGATCCCGATGCCCGGAAGCCCGCTCAACCGCTCGATCAACTCGCGCACCGCCGCCGGATACCCGTTGCCCGCATCACCCAAACCTGTCGACCGCTTACCCATCCCCCGATCATACGCGGCCCATCCCATCCATCCCCCACCCAATCTTCAACCAGCCCAACTCCAACAACCCCTCTACCCTACCCCGTGCCCAAAACACGTTTCCAAACCAGCACCCCGCTCCAACTCCTCTTCATCACCGCCCTCGTCGCGCTCATCACCCTCCCCAACCTCTCAACCTTCGGCCTCTCCTCCTCCGAAGGACACCGAGTCATCCCCGCACTCGAAATGCTCGAGTCCAACCAATACCTCGTCCCCCACCTTTTCGACCAACCCTACCTCCGCAAACCCCAGCTCGTCCCCTGGATCTTCGCCGCCGCGCTGTCCATCAACCCCGATCCGGACCTGACACCAAGACTCGTCTCCGCATTCGCCTTCCTCCTCCTCTGCCTCTCATCCTTCTTCTTCGCCCGCAAATGGTTCGGACCCCGCGCCGCCCTCCCCGCCGGCCTCGCCGCCGCACTGACCCCGCTCTTCTGGGCGCCCGCACGCAGCGCCGAGATCGAATCCATCCACAACCTCCTCACCGCGCTGGGCGCCTGGATCACCCTTCACCTCCTCATCACCATCAACAAACGCCCTGTGTTATGGTCCTTCGCCCTCTCCATCACCGCGCTGCTCATGCTCCTCACCAAAGGCCCCGCGGGATTCCCCATCTTCCTCGCCCTCATACTCTCCGCCGCACTGCTCACACGCACCCCCAAGCCAATCTTCAAACCAACCATCCTCATCCCCATCGCCCTCGCCGCGCTCGTCTTCGCGCTCCACTGGTCACGCACCCTCAGCGCCGCCCCAAACGCGATCACCCAATCCCCCGAAGCCTTCATGTTCGAGCCCGGCCGACTCCCCAAGCTCCTCGCCTTCATCCCAGTCGCGCTCCTCACCGCGCTCCCCACCACCCTGGCGCTCCTCTTCCCCTGGGGTCCCGACGCCAAAGCAGAAGCATCAGAACAAGACCAACTCCCCAAACTCCACACCGCCAAACTCCTCGCCCTCTCCATCCCCCTCGCGCTACTCATCATGATGATCGCAGGCGTCTCCAACGATCGCTACGCCCAACCCATCCTCGCCGCCACATTCCCCCTCATCGGATGGCTCCTCACCACCACCCTCCACCCCAAGCGCCACCTCATCCTCCGCATCCTCACGCTCGGCTCCCCAAAGATCCTCGCGCTCGTCGCGCTCATCCTCATCCCCATCAACATCTACCAAGTCGAGCCCCGCGCGAGATCCACCTCAGGTAAGCAACCCGCCCACACCCTCGCCTCCGATCTCGCCGCGTCACTCCCACCAGGCAACTACACCATCGTCGCCGACGCGATGATCGAAGCGCGCCCCGAAACCCTCCTTTATCTCAGACATCAATCGCAGTCCACCGACCACGACCTCGACATCCGCTGGACACCTGAACTCCCACACGAACAACTCGCTGACATCGCTGCAAGCATCCCGAACCAACTGCTCGTTCTGATTCGGACCGATCAAAACGGGAACGAGTCCGATAAAGTCTTGATCGACAAAACCATAGCGATCGGCCGCGTCCACGAGTTCGATTTCGCGCTCGTCTCTGTTCAGTTCCCGTAAGTTACGAACACAATAAATTCCCCCTTTCAACTGGGGAATCCCACCCAAAGTCCTTGCATCGCATCCAGCAATTCGATAGTCTGTTGCTCACAAACCAGCAGCTTCGGGACTCTTTTGTGGAGAGAGGTTCGTCCCAAAGCTGTTGGTTTTTTTCATGAACTCAACAACACCATTCACCGCGCCAGCATACGGATCGGGATGATCGCTTCCGCGACCTTCTCATCCACCAGATCGCGCATCACCACTTTCAGGTGGTACCGCCCCACCCCCAAGTTTCGAGGCAGCGTGATCTTGTTGATCAGATAGTAATCCCGCACACGATTCCGACTCACGCTCCGATCCACCTCCGCAGCGCGATTCCATGTATTCAGATCATCCGCGACATGATACAACTCCAGCCGCTGACTCATCTCCACCTCAAACCTCGGCTGCCCGTCATTCCCCGAAATCTCGCGATGACCAAACCGATCCACCTCGACATACACAATCACTTCCTGCGCCGTCCCCGCAACAAACTCATTGCTCGCGAACGGCTCATAGTTCCCAAACCCGCTCACGCTCGTGCACAACAACGCACGCGTCACGCGGATCCCCGAAGCGCGATCCAGATCACGCTTGACGCGCTCCAGCGCCTCCGCCGCCGCATCAGGTGACGCGATCCCACCTGAACTCGAGATCGAATCAAACACCTCACGCACCGCGCGCAGCGTGCTCAACTCCGCATCACTCAACACCCCCTCGCTGTGCAGTGAATCGAGCGTCTCCACAGATATCGAGTCCATCCCGGCAAGCGCCGTCGCCGCCGCGCCAGGATTATCACTCGTCCGCGCCAGTTCAGTCAGCAACCCCACAAGCTCATCAACGAGCTCCGCCTTACGCTGCTCCGCATCAACCGAAACAACTTCCACAGCTCCCGCATCGATCACTCCCGTATCAACAGGTTCATCGATCGCTTGCGTATCAATCCCGCGCTCAGCAGCAGCCGCTGAGAGCGAGAACGAACCATCACTGCCCCCTACATCTAATTGTGCTTCAGAGCTATCAATCGCCTCAGCCGCAAGCTGTTCATCGCGCGCCTCCAGATCCCGCGCGATCTCCTCGGCGCTCGGCTGATACACCTCGACCTTCTCCGTGAGGTCCTCACCAGACTCCATCCCAGAGAAGTACTCGTCCATCATCCGCGCCGACTCAAGCACCTGATCGCGCGTCGATCCGAAGTCTTCGCCTGTATCAATCTGAGCCGTGATCGGATCATCATCCTCCGCAAGCGCCGTCAGCGAGGTATCCACCGCCTCAGCATTGGGATCAGTCTCCGCCTGGACAGGTTCTTTCTTTTTCTTCCACCACCGATCCCCCTTGCCGCACCCGCTTGCTGTGAGCAACCCCACTGTGCATCCAGTCGCGCACCCCACAACCAGAATCATGCTGCCAATCCGACTTCCTGTCTTGCGTGCCATATCGAGCCTCCTGCTCATCTGCATGTAGAACACTATACCAAATCCCGCGCACTCAGTTCCGCCGCGCCAATGTAAAAACACCCCATCAAATACGGGATTTAGCGAGACGCCGCCACGAACGACAGCATCAGCCGCTCGAGCATGATCCCCATGTCCGCGCCACTGGACTTGCTCGCCACATCCGCCGCGACGCACTGGTCGAACAGCGCCCGCGCCCGTTTGGGACCCAGCCGCTTCGCAGTTCTGAGAATCGAGTCCTTACTCGAAGCCGGCCACAGCTTGAGTTCCTTCCCGATCACATTGCTGTTGACCCCCTGCGCCAGCGCCTCGCTCGCGCCCATCAGCTTCCGCGCCAGATCGCTGCACGCGAACACCACAGGAACCGAGTTATCCCTCGGACTGTTTCCCAGAATCACACGCAGCTCCGACAATGCGCGATCGGGATCGCCGCAGAGCAGATACGACTGGATCGCCCACACCTCTTCCTCGCGTGTCAATCCGACCAGCTCCGTCACCATCTGCTGCGTGATCGGATTCCCCTCACCCGCGCCCACCGCGAGTTTGCCGAGCTCCGAATCGATGCGCCCCAGATCAGCGCCCAAACGCTCAACCAGTCCCGCCGCTGTGCGCTGATCAATCTCCGCGTTGTACGCCGTGCGTGCCCGCTTGACGACCCATCTGCACGCCGTGCCTTCATCCACCGTGTCGCACTTGACGATGATCCCACAGGTCCCGATCGCGTCGTCGAGCTTCCCCTTATTCCACTTCCCGGCGCGCAGCACCAGCGTCGCTTGATCGCTCGGCCCCTGTGCATACCGCTCGAGCATCGGACGCGTCGTCGCGTTCACGAACGAATCCGCTTCATCGACGATCACCATCTTGTGCGTCGCCATCAACCCAAATGATCGGCACTCATCGAGCACCTCCGCGAGATCCGTCTGATCCCCCTCGAACTTGAACACCTCGATCTCGCCATGCTCTTGTTCAAGCTTCTCCTTAAGCATGCTCGTGTACTGCGTGCGCAGGAACAGCTCCTTGCCCACGAGCACCACGATCCGATGCTGTGCGCCCGGCTGTCCCGCTGCTCCTTTTGATCCCGCCCGAGATGTTTTGCTTGCTTTCGCCACGCCCCCATTGTACGCCGCCCGCCGGGACACTATCGTTGATCCAATGCCCAAGCTCACCGTCATCCGAGGCCCAGACGAGGGCAAAGAGTACATGCTCCCCACTGGAGAGCCCCAACTCATCGGCCGCTCCTCCGAAGCACTCCCGATCTCCGACAACACCGTCTCTCGACGTCACGCCGAGCTCACACCCGACGGCTCGACCTGGTACATCCGCGACCTCAAATCCAACAACGGCACCTTGGTCAACGGCGTGCTCATCAAAGACCGCATCCGTCTCGAACCAGGTGACGAGATCAATGTCGGGATCACCACGCTGCTGTTTGGGATCAATCCAGAAGACCGAGTCTTCTCGCCCGTACTGCTTACCGACGAGGAAGAGCAAGAGATCGATGTCGAGCTCACCCTCCCTTCGTCCGGCGACTCCTACATCGGAGACGCGATCGATCCGACCGCCGCCGCCGAGGACCATCTGCGCGTCATCTACGCGCTGACCTCGATCACCGCGCGCATCGCCAACAAACGCGAGCTCCTCGATGCCGTGATGATGCTGATCTTCAACGAGTTCAAGCCTGAGCGTGGTGTGATCATGATCCCAGGCGCGACACCCGAAGCGCCGATGGTCCCAGGGATCGTCCGTTATGCCGCGCCGCCGACCGACGAGGACACGGCGAAGATCCACGTCTCGACCACGATCCTCAAAGCCGCGATGGACGGCGACGGCGTCCTCTCCACCAACGCGATGCAAGATCCACGCTTCGCGTCAGGAGACTCCGTCCAGCAGTACCAGATCCGCAGCGCGATCTGCTCTCCCATCACCTTCGGAGAGCAACCCTTTGGCGCGATCTACATCGACTCGTCCACCGTCCACCACGCGTTTGATCGTCAGCAGCTCGCGTTGCTCAACGCGATTGGTCAGCACACCGGACTCGCGCTCGCGAATGCCGACGAGCACCTCAAGCGCGTCAACTCCGAGAGGATGGCCGCGATCGGAGAGACCGTCGCGTCGCTCTCCCACTCGATCAAGAACATCCTCCAAGGACTCAAAGGCGGCGCCGATGTTGTCGAGATCGGTCTGCACAAAGGCGATCTGGATATCTCACGCAATGGGTGGGGAATCCTGCGGCGCAATCTTGATCGCATCGCATCACTGACGATGAACATGCTGACCTTCAGCCGCAAGCTCCAGCTCCAACTCGAGCTGACTCACATCAACAAGATCGCACGCGACATCGCGCAGCTGATGGAGAAAGTCTGCGAAGAAAAAGGCGTCGCGCTGATTGTCGATGCGGATCCCGAGATGCCTCCGATCAGTGTGGATCCGTCGCTGATCCACCAAGCGATCGTGAACCTGGTTGCCAACGCGATCGAAGCGGTCGAGCCGGAGACCGGCGCGGTGACGGTGCGCGTCGCGTTCAACGAGTCGCGTCCAGACAAAAAAAAGGCGGGGGCAGTTCTGCGTCCGGCGGTGGTGATCTCAGTCATTGATAATGGTCCCGGCATCCCGCAGGATCGACTCGCGTGGATTTTCGAGCCGTTCAATACCACCAAAGGACTCAAGGGGACTGGTCTTGGACTCGCGGTGACCAAGCGCATCGCGTACGAGCACATGGGACGGATCCGCGTCGAATCAACGCCGGGTCAGGGGAGTGTGTTCAAGGTAATTCTGCCGGCGGATCTGGATGCGCAGCTTGATCCGAGCGCGACATCGAATCGACAATCCGGCAACGGTGAGTCGGGTGGGTTGATCTGATCAACACATTGTTCCACGTGGAACACAAGCATGCTTTGTGCGGGAATCTGAGTTTTGCGCACAATGGGGGTGATCAGGCGGCTGCTTGGTCTGGGCTTTGCTTGCTGTTGAGCAGGCGCTGAATCGTTCTGAGCAGGCGCGCTCGGTTGAGCGGCTTTGTTTCGTACTCATCACATCCGGCTTCGAGGCATCGCTGACGATCTCCGGGGAGTGCGTTGGCAGTCAGAGCAAGGATCGGTAGTCTGCATCCCTCTTCACGCAGTTTGGCTGTTGCTTGATATCCATCCATAACGGGCATCTGCATGTCCATGATGATCAGATCAAACGATTCGTACAGTTTTGGGTCGTTGAAGACACGGTTGAGCGCTTGCTGACCATTCCAAACGAACTCATACTCAAGCTCTGTCTTGGAGAAGAAGTGTTTGAGGAGGAGCTGGTTGTCTGGGCCGTCTTCGGCGATCAGCACGCGTCCGCTGAGTTGTGTTGTTGGGAGTTTCCTTGTGTTGATCTTTGTCGAGTCGTCGATCGGAAGTTCGGTGATGGTGTGTTGTGCAGATTCTGATTGCGGGAGCACAATCGGGAGCGAGAAGGTGAAGGTTGATCCGCGTGCAACAACGCTTGTTGCTGAGAGCTCGCCTTGCATCATTTCGGCGAGTTGTCTGGAGATGGAGAGTCCGAGTCCTGTTCCGAGGTTTTCGTAGGATAGTGCGGTTTCGACTTTGTTGATGTCGACTTGCTCGAACGGTTTGAAGATTGTTTCGAGTCGGTCTGGTTCGATTCCGACGCCGGTATCGGCGACGGCGATGTTGAGTGTGTCGTCTATTTGTTCGAGCTCGATGGTGATTGAGCCGTAGTAGGTGAACTTGATCGCGTTTGAGATCAGGTTGAGGATGATCTGGCGCACGCGGTATGGATCGGCAACGATTGATTCTGGGATAGGGGTTTTGAACTTGACTTCGAGATCCACACCGCGCTCGTTGGATTGGACTTGCATGGTCGCGACGCATTCGGCGAGGACTTCTCCGATATGACACTTGACGGGGTTGATCGCGAGCTTTCCGGATTCGATTTTGGAGAGATCCAGGACATCATTAATCACGGTGAGCAAGTGCGATCCGGCGCGCGTGATTCGGTTGACGGCGGTTCCCATGGTCTCCGGGTCGTGGTGCTCTGGGACCATGTCCTTGAGGATTTCGGTGTATCCGAGCACGGCGGTCATCGGCGTGCGGATCTCGTGACTCATGTTGGCGAGGAATACTGATTTGGCGTGATTGGCGCGCTGTGCGTTGTACGCAAACTCGCGTTGGCGCTGTTCGCTCTCGATGAGCGACTTGTTCATCTTGCTTGCGAGATTGACCGCTCTTGTGCGACCTTGTGTAATAAAGAATGTGATCGCGGTCACAAGGAGTGATGCGAGCGATCCGATGATGAGGGCGTTGTTCGCTTTCTGTGTATGCGATGCGATTTCTGTCGGCGTCAGGTCGCTTTCGGGGTGGAGTGTGCATGCGGAAACTGTGGTATTGATAGTTTTGCCGCCGATGGTGTGACTGAATGAATACTCTACATTTGATTCTATTGAGCACTCTTTTCCGATCGGTATGATATTGGTTAGTGAGATGACATTCTGCTGGAAGTCATCTGTTGAAATCGATACTCGATCTGCGTGATTGTTCCGGGCGTTGATGTAGTTTGCAAAGAGCGCGGTATCGATTGAGAGCGACACCCATCCACGGATCGCTTGTCGGCGTTGTTCCGAGGTTTCCGTCGGCATCCCAGGCTCGTAGCTTGGATATGTGAAGACCAGTCCAAACTTTGATTCGGCATTCTCTGCTTCGAGTTGCTTGAGCTTGAAAGGCGCTGAGATTTGCATTGAACCTGTGAACGCGGCTCGGTCGTATACATCTTTGTTTGCGGGCTTGGCGGCGACATCGAGGCCGAGAATCATTTCGTTGCGTGGCTGAGGTTCGGCGTACTTGATGATGTAGTGCTCTTCTGTGTCGTCCTGAACCTCATAGCCTTCGTGGGTATGGATGGAAAAGTTTTCCATACCTTGCGAGAACACTTCTTGCTTGAACTCCTCCATCTGATCCGGCCTGACATGTTGAACATACACAAACGCGAGCACGCTCTGATAGTTTTCTTGGAGGTTTGCTGAGTCAACAAATCGTGCCCACTCGTTTCGATCAACATAGTTCGACGATTGCGCGAACGCGTTCATGAATAGAAGTGCGTTCTGGTAGTTATCGATATCGTTGATGATTTTCTGATGGTGCGCCTGGGCGCGTTTGAAAATTGCTTCTTCTTGTGCGTGCTCGATTGAGTGGCTGAATGATCGGTATGCGAGCGCCGAGATCCCGGTGCTGATCAACGCGATAAGAAGGACGGTCCAATAGCGTCTGAAGAGTACGGTGAATTTGCTGGACCCAATAGGCATTTCGCAATTGGATCGGCTGCTTTGGACAGGTCATTGACGCCAACATCATTGCAAGAGCGATGATTCATCGAATGAGTTGTCAAAAGTGGGTGCGGGATGGGCGAGACGCGGATTTTGCGCCGTGAAGATTTCTCGCAAGGTCCAAGAGTTTGTTACACAGCGGCGGGCTGGAGGTTCATCGCTTTGGCCATGGCTGTTCCCATGTCGGCGGGGCTCATGGCGACCTCGACGCCGGCTTCTTGGAGGGCGGCGATCTTGGAATCCGCGGTTCCGGTGGGCTTTCCTCCGGCTCCGGCGGAGATGATCGCGCCGGCGTGTCCCATGCGCTTGCCGGGAGGGGCGGTGCGTCCGGCGATGAAGGCGGCGACTGGTTTTTTGACGTTGTTTGCGATGTACTCGGCGGCGGCTTCTTCGTCTTCGCCTCCGATTTCACCGATCATGAGGATGGCATCGGTGTCGGGGTCTTCTTCGAACATGCGGATGCAGTCGATGTGGTTGAGGCCTCGGACGGGGTCACCACCGATCCCGACGCAGGTGGATTGGGCGAGACCAATCTGGGAGGTTTGCCAGACGGCTTCGTAGGTGAGTGTTCCGGAGCGGGAGACGATTCCGACGGACTTCCCGATTTTGGATTCGGAGATGTGTGTGTTGATGTATCCCGGCATGATCCCGATTTTGCAGCCGTTGTTGGTGTAGTGGGATTCGGCGGTGTTGTCGCCGGTCTTTGGGCCTGGGGTGATGATTCCCGGGCAATTGGGGCCGATAAGTGTGAAGAGTTCTTCGGCGTGCTGTGAGTCTGCTCCGCGAGCGGCGGCGTTGCGTTCATCCATGATGGCGCGGACGCGGATCATGTCGTTGACGGGGACGCCTTCGGTGATGCAGCAGATGAGTCGGATTCCCGCGTCCATCGCTTCGAGGATCGCGTCGGCGGAGAAGGCGGGTGGGACGAAGATCATGGTGGCGTCGGCGCCGGTGGCTTCGACGGCGTCGCGGACGGTGTTGAAGATCGGGAGGTTGTTGGCGTCTTTTTGTCCGCCTTTGCCTGGGGTGACGCCTCCGACCATTTTGGTGCCGTAGTGGAGGCATCCTGCGGTGTGGAGGGCGCCTGCGGAGCCGGTGATTCCTTGGGTGATGACTTTGGTGTCTGCGTTGACGAGGATGGCCATTGTGGTTGCTCCGCTGTTGGAAAGAGGGGTCTTGTGTGCATGATAGCGTGGGGTTTGGTTTGTGTTGCGTGATTGGGAGGATATTGGTGGTCTATGATGCTCTCCTAACACATTGGGAGATCGAAACATGCGGGCGATTGTGACTGGTCAGGTTGGTATGGAGAAGAAGTCGTACCTCGATGGTGTGGCTCGGTTTGCGGGTCAGCAGGGTGAATCGGTCCCGATTTACAATGTGGGGAACATGATGTACAGCGAGGCCCCGGATATCCGGGAGGGACGGATTCTGGATCTGCCGATCTCGAGGCTGCACTCGCTGCGCCGCGCGGCTTTCAAGGACATCATCGCGGATTCGCGCGATGAAGACACGATCGCGGTCAATACGCACGCGACGTTCCGCTGGCGGCATGGGCTGTTTAGCGCGTTTGACTTTGATCAGATCGTGAAGCTGGCGCCGGACCTGTTTATCTGCTTGGTGGACAACATCGAGGTGGTGCACAAGAACCTACACGAGGCGCATGATATTGATGCGACGCTCAAGGACTGCATGGTGTGGCGCGAGGAAGAGATCCTGGCGACGGAGCTGATGAGTCAGGCGGTTCCTGGGAGCAAGTTCTACATTGTTTCGCGTGGTCGTCATGCTTCGACGGAGCGGACGATGTTCCGGTTGTTATGTAGGCCTGAGATGAAGAAGGTGTACCCGAGTTTCCCGATGAGTCATGTGGTGGATATGCCTGAGGTGATGGCGGAGATTGACGCGTTTCGCGCCGAGCTCGCGGAGCACTTTATTACCTTTGATCCTGGTGATGTGGACGAGAAGCTGCTGCTGGATCGTGCGATCGAGGCGGTGAAGGACGGCAAGGACTTCTTTGATCACATGCCTCATCAGCTTGGTGGGATTCAGAAGGACATGGAACCGATCCGGATGCGGACTCGGGAGGTCATGGATATCGCGGGGGATATCGATGGTCAGATCTACATGCGGGATTTCAAGCTGATCGACCAGGCGGACATGATTGTGAGCTTTGTGCCTGAGCTGATTAGTGATGGGGGTAAGGTGATCCCGGGGCTGTCGAGTGGGGTTGAGCGTGAGCTTCAGCATGCTTGGGAGCATGCGAAAGAGGTGTATGTGGTTTGGAAGCCGAGCAAGCCGCCGAGTCCGTTTATTACGGAGACGGCGACGAAGGTTTTTGCTTCGACCGAAGAGGCACTGAAGTACTTTGAAGAGCAGGGGATGTTCTCGACGCGGAACTTGTTTGGGCAGTAAGCGTCTATGCCTTTGAATGCATCAGATCTTGCTCGCCGGCAGTGGACAGTTGAGCTGTGGCTTCGGATTTTGAGCTTGCTGTTCTTTATCCTCATGATTCCATCGGTCCTGCTTTGGCTCGTGCAGGGATTGATGGATGGTGAGTTGTTTAGTGTTTGGAACCTAGCGCCGGTGAGCTTTGCTCTCTTTTGTTTGGTTGCATCGGGTGTGCTTTGGTTCTTGAGCCGACGGCTCTCTGTGTTGCTTGTTCCGGTCCCGAGATTGAACAGGTGCCCCGGTTGTGGGTACTCGATCGACGGTCTGAGAGAAGCGACTTGCCCGGAGTGTGGGCTCGCGTTTGAATCCAATCGTGATGGCTCGGATCAATCTGATACCGAGACTTCCCCTCGGGGCGTGAGACGGATTGAACGAGATCGTCAGATTGCTGAGATAGTGTTTCGATCTGCTGGGATCTACTTGTTGATTACTCAGATGTATGTTGGCTTTCAGTATGTGTTCCGTGCAATCAGCTATGTCTTTCTAGATCCTCAGAGCAGCATGTTTGTTTCCGGCGAGGATATTCGCTTGAACACCGAGACGGTGTTTTGGCTTGTCGTTGCTTGTGGATTTTTGTTTGGGAGTCGGTGGGCTGCTGCGATTTGTGTTCCAGAACCTAAGCGTGTTCAGGAAGGCGATTAGGTTTCATCTCGTTTTCTAACCCAAGATTTACGCTCTAATCGACTGTTTACCGGTCGTTTTTATGGTTGTGCTGTGATGTTGATGTATGTTCTGGGCGTGAATACATCACATTTGATTGTTGGTGTTGTTGGTTTTTGCTCGCTTGGGGCTTTGGCTCTTGCTTGTTCGACGGTGTCGCTGCAGGCGGATCATCGGATTACCACGATGGATTATGACATCGCGTGGTTTGATGATTTCGGGAACCTCACGGGGTTCAATCAGCTGCGGTCGTGGAGCCCGGGTGAGTTTTATGATTTCATGTTCGATCAGAGCGACACGCTCGGCGACACGGCTTTTATGCATGTGACGCAGGATTCGAGCATGTCGGAGATGTTGATCTTTATTGAGGAGACTGAATGATGAGTATTCGGCATGCGATGATTCTGTCAGTTTGTGGTTGCTCTGCTGTTTCAATGGCGGGTGTGATGTCGCTTGAGGGTGATATGCGGACTCAGCTTTATGACATCTCTGCGGAGACTAGCTCGTTTCCTCCTGATTTCTTGTTTGATGGGACTGGTGGTCCTGTGATGTCTCCGATCACATTTGGGGACTGGGAGTATGATGATTCGTTCTCGATTCCGGCGATGTCGATGAGTATGTATCACTCCTCATCGGTGACCAGTGAGCTGCTGCTTGCTGAGGGATCGATTGAGGGAATCGTCACCCCAGGTGTTGCAAACTATGTATTCACCACAGGTGTTGGATTCAACGATTTCAATATCACATTCTCAGTAGGCGAGACGACTGAGTTTTTGATTGACGCAACGCTAACGGCATCTGGTCTATCCGGGAACTCGTCTGTAGTGATCCGGAATGCCACTTCGCCGTTCACGGTGCTGTATTCTCAGCAAGCGATGAACACGAGTATTGAGATCCACGAGACTATCGAGCTTGAGGCGGGAACATACAGCTTCCAGCTCATCTCGAATGTCTCGCTTGCGCCGGTTGTGGGGTTGGATTCCGCTTCTTATTCTGGATCTCTGAGTGTGGTGCCTGCGCCGTCGGTGCTTGGTTTGATTGGGGTTTCGGGGATCTTTGCATCACGCCGGCGTCGGTGATTGAGCAACTGAGTTCTGTTTGTTCTATGTGATAGCGCGTGACATTCCCGTCGATGAAACCTGTGTGGGGATGGGTGCGAATGTAATTACGTATATTCTGAAACAAGGGGACATGTTGTGGAAAGTATTTGCATATATAAAATAGTCGCTGGGATCGGTTACTTTTCAATGGCTGCGATGGCGAGTCCGATGCAGCTTGTTTCAGATGATCGCGGGATTTCTCTGGATGTCGGGTACAGTTGGTTTGATCAAGGACAGTTCAACACTGTAAACGAATCTGATTTGGTTGTGCCGATGGGTGCATTCTCGGCTGTCAATGAAGAGACGATCATCACTCATCAGACCGGGTACCTTGGCGCCTCGCAACTTTCTGAGGTTTCTGAGCTGCAGATCAGTGGGCAGGGTCAGATTTTGGGTTCGGCAGAGTCTGAGGATGGGATTGCTTACGAGATGTTTGAGACTGCTGGGATCAGCTCTGTAGCTGTGGAGTTTTCCATCAGCGAACAGACTGCGTTTTTTCTTGATGCGTTGTTGTACTCGAGCGGGTCGCCTGGCGAGAGCGGGGTGTGGCTGCGAGGGATCAACGGCACAGCGTTTTACTTTCATGACTCTACCAACTTGTATGACTCTGAGAATACATATGTGGATGTAGAGCAGGGCTTTGTGCTTGATGCGGGATCGTATGTGTTTGAGATGAGTTCATCTCTCTTTTCGAGCGACGCAGACTATGGGGCGATGGCATCGTTTCAGGGCAGCTTGAGTGTGGTGCCTGCGCCTTCATCGCTTGGTTTGATTGGTGTTTCGGGGATCTTTGCATCACGCCGGCGTCGGTGATTGACTGAAACAAGTTGCGAAAGAATCCCAATGAGCGGTTGCGGGGATGGTCCCGTGGTGGGATACTTGTCTCATGAGCGAAGAACACGTACAGGATGGGCAGGGAGATGATGTTCGGCACGCGCCGGTCAATGAGCGCGGGCGGGCGTTTGATCCCGATGTGACGGACGATGAGAAGTCGTTTGCGTTGTGGATGCATCTGGCGCTGCTGGCGCACTTGGTGTTGTCGTTGATCGCGATCATTATCCCGATTGTGATGTGGCAGGTGAAGAAGGATGAGTCGCCGTTCCTCGATGATCATGGTCGTGAGGCGGTGAACTTCCAGATTTCGCTGTTGATCTGGTCGCTGGTGTTTGGGCTCGCATCGATCCCGATCGGGTTCTTGACCTGTGGCGTGGGGTTCGTGATCGCGTTTGTGCCTTATGTGGTCGGACTGATCGGGATGATCCAGGCATCGCAGGCGGCGAATCGTGGCGAGTTCTATCGCTATCCGATGACGATGCGGTTTGTGTGATCACGTGATTCCCTGAAATCTCTGTAGACGGATTCCCAACTGTTGGTTGCGGGGATGATCCCGCTCTAAAGGAACTGGGATATGAGCAATGCTGGGTCTGCGGCTGAAGCACCTGTGAATGATCGTGGCCGGGCGTTTGATCCCGATGCGAGCAAGGCGGAGCGGAGCTTTGCGGTGTACATGCACCTGAGTTTGCTCTTGCACTTGGTGCTTTCGTTTTTGGCTTTGATTGTGCCTTATGTGATGTGGTCATCGAAGCGGGAGGGGTCGCCGTTCTTGGATGATCATGGTCGCGAGGCGTTAAACTTCCAGATTTCGATTGTGGTATGGACGATCGTATTCGCGGCTCTTGCGGTTCCTGTAGCCTACTTTACGGATACGCTGGCGCTGCTGGTGATTCTGTTCCCGCATGTGCTCGGGATTGTCGGGATGTGTTGCGCGGCGTCTGCGGCGAATCGCGGGGAGTTCTTTCGGTATCCGATGACACTTCGCCTGCTTACATAACTGGGATCATGCTTTCATGACTGTGTATCGCTGCACTCATCTGCAGCGTTTTTAGTTGGTGCCGGCGAGTTTGCGGACGGTGGTGTCGAAGTTCTTCACGAGTGCGCTGATGACGGCGTAGACGATTCCGATGTATATCCCGGCGCTGATGATCGCCCCCACAGCGAGTGCGATGCGTGCGGTGAAGAGGCCGTCGGTTCCTGAGTCGACTGTTTCGGCAAGGCGCTGCGCGGGGACAACTAGCGCGTCGAGCAGAGACGCTGGGGAGAGCGACGCGAGCGCGGGTCCGATGACGGGCATGTCTGACGCGGAGGCCCAACCACAGAGTCCCAGGATTCCTGAGACGACGGCGACGATCGCGACGGTTCCGATGACTGCGGCGAGGGTGCCTTTGGATTTGAGTGACCACTGGAGACCGATCATGACGCAGAAAGCCATGAACGGTATGAGGACGAGGGGGGCGAGGAGTCCCGCTTCTGGGAGTACGACTGGCGCGTTGATCGCGGTTCCAGAGACGGTCGAAGTCGGGATGTTTGCGAGGGTGTCTTGTCCGAGTCCTCCGGTGAGTGCGTAGAGGCCGGCGAGTCCGATGGTGAAGACGGGGACGGCGATGAGGGGGAGGAGATAGGAGACGAGTCCTCGGAGCTTTCCGGTGAGGTACATGCGTGGGGTGATGGGTGTGGTGAGGATGAGGTCGAGGGTGCCGTCTTCTCGTTCTCCGGCGACGGCGGTGGCGGCCATGTTGATCGCGATGAGCGCGATGACGAAGACTTCTGTGAAGACGACGGAGCGGATGATGAACTGGTAGTCGGAGGTGTTGATGGATTGGGTGTGGTAGAGGATCGTGAGGACGAGACCGAGGACGAGACCTCCGATCACAAAGGACCAGCGCGCGATGATGCGCCAGAATGTCGCGTTGCGTGCGGCGGCTTCGCGCCATGCGATCGGGTTTGACCAAACGGTGCGTGGTGGACGATGTTCGACAGTCGCGCCTTTGCCGAGGAGTCTCCGGTGGAGAGGGACGGCGGCTGTGGACTTGGTGATGTTCTTGAGTCCGCCTGTTCGGACGGTGAGGGTGGAGGCGAGGACGAGGAATCCGGAGAGTAGGAGCGAGGCGTAAACCCATGCTCGCGCGGGGGACTCGAGCATGAGTGCTTTGAGTCCGGTGTAGGTGCCTGGGATCGCGGCGGGGTAGGACGCTGGAGAAAGCAGCGCGCGGAGTGCGAGGAAGGGGTTGAATGCAGAGATGACGGTGACGCCTTCTCCGGCTGGTCCAGCACCCATGCCTCTTGATCGGAACCACGCGTCGAGCGCGAGGGTGATCGCGAGATAGGTGATGACGGAGACATAGAACGCAAACACTGCACGTTGTCCGACGAGGCGGGATACTGAGAGCGCGATCGCGATGGATCCGACGAGGATCGCGGCGCCGGCGCTGACGATGTAGACGGCGATGATGGATCGTCCTGGGACTCCACCAAAGAACTGGGTGAGTGCGAAGAGGGGGAGGGATGCGAAGAGCAGAGCGAGGACGAAGAAGAGTCGGCCGAGGAGGTTTCCGAGGACGATCTCGAGTTTGGACATTGGAGTGGTGAGGAGGATGTCCCAAGTTTTGGGGCTCGCTTCGTGTGAGATGGCGCCGGCCATGAACACGGGGGCGATGATGCAGATGAGCGCGACCTGAAGGTAGGCGATCCCGGCGAAGGCGGAGGCGCCTGCGGAAGCGAGCTCGCGGTAGGAGACGTCTCCGGTTGGGGTGGAGCCGAGCATGGCCCACAGCAGAACGAGGATGAGTACTGCGAGGTATCCGGAGCGCGCGTAGTTGTGCTTGGAACGGCGTGATGCGTTTTGAACGAGTCGAACTGCGATTGGGTTTGCGGGTCCTAACCGAAGGAGCCAGCGGAGAAATATGGGCATGTATGGAGTGTATCGCTTGTTATGAGCAGCGTTGCGGGTTTTTCTCGGGCGTAGAGCTTGTTCGTACAGTCATGATTCACTGCTGTTCGGATTCATAATTATTTGTGTTGCAATCATTTATGTGTTTCTGTTAGACTGAAATCGCGAGGCCGGGACGCTGGTCTCTGAGAGAAAAGAGAGGACCAAGAGACAATCTGTATTCCAACTGTGTTGTTGGATTCTTGCATCTTTGTGTTTCTCTCGTGGGCAAAAACCTTAGAGAAAGGGGTTTCACATGAAGAAGGCAATCACAATTCTTGCCGCATTGGGCGCCGCATCGACTGCGAACGCTGGGCTGACACTTGACGATCTTTCGATCGGCACCTTGATGGGTGGCGACAGCGTCATGGGCGACACGGCACTCTCGACTGATGACATGAACGCGGACACCATCGGTACCGGCGGCTCATGGAGCGGTGGCGATGATGTCTACACACTCGTCTGGGGCGGCGGCGACCTGACCCTCGACCTGCTGTTCACTGATGATCTGGGCGATCTCGATCTGTTCCTCTTTGACAACAACAACCCTGCGGGCGAGCTCGCTCAGGGGATCTCTGTTGATGACAATGAAACAGTCGAGGTTTTAGGGCTCGCTGCAGGCACTTACTGGGTGAGTGTTGACGGCTGGTTGGGTGCTACCAACAGCTACACACTGAATGTTTCGCAGGACATTCCTGCACCAGCTGGCTTGGCCGTGATCGGTCTTGGTGGTTTGGTCGCTGGACGCCGTCGTCGCTGATTCAACTCTCCAAGTTTTTCATCTGACGACAGACTGCTGAGCAGGTTCCGCCGCACACTTTCGGGTGTGCGGCGGTTTTTATGAGTAGAAAAAAACACCCGCTATGAAGCGGGCGTTGGTGTGGATTCAAATCAGCTGAATCAATCAAGTGGATTGGGTACCAGCGGACTCCGGTGGTGTTGACTCTGAAGCGGCTTGCGCATCGATGTCTTCCTGGCGTGAGTCTGGTTCCGCGGCGTTCTCCGGCTCGACCCACGAGGTGTTGAACTTGAGGGTCTCGTCGGTGCCGATACGGGTCGCGTCGAGGACATTTTTCTCGTGGAGGTCTCCGGAGAGGAGGAGCTCGGAGAGTGGGTCCTCGATGTAGGTCCCGATCGCTCTGCGGAGCGGGCGGGCGCCGAAGTCGGGGTTGTATCCCTTCTCGATGAGGAAGTCCTTGGCGGACTGATCGAGGTTTAGGGTGAAGCCTTGCATCTGGAGACGCTCGGCGACCTTCGAGACTTCGAACTCGACGATGTGGATGAGGTCTTCCTTGGTGAGTGGTTTGAAGACCACGACATCATCGAGGCGGTTGATGAACTCGGGACGGAAGAACCGCTCGATTTCTTTCATCAGCACGGACTTCATGGACTCGAACTTGTTTTCGGGTGCGTGCTTGCCGAACCCGAATCCGCCGCCGCCCTTGATGAGGTCAGCGCCGATGTTGGAGGTCATGATGATGATGGTGTTGCGGAAGTCCACGTGGCGTCCGAAGGAGTCGGTGAGTCGGCCTTCTTCCATGATCTGGAGGAGCATGTTGAAGACATCTGGGTGCGCCTTCTCGACTTCGTCGAGGAGGACGACGGAGTACGGGCGTCGGCGGATGGCTTCGGTGAGCTGGCCGCCTTCTTCATAACCGACGTAGCCTGGAGGCGCGCCGACGAGGCGCGAGACGGTGTGCTTCTCCATGTACTCGGACATGTCGAGGTGGATGAGCGAATCCGGATTCCCGAACATGAACTCAGCGAGCGATTTGGAGAGCAGGGTCTTACCGACACCTGATGGACCGACGAAGATGAAGGAACCCATTGGGCGCTTCGGATCTTTGAGGCCTGCACGGGCGCGGCGGATTGCTTTGGAGATCGCTTTGATCGCGTCGTCCTGGGAGATGACGGACTTGTGGAGCTCTTCTTCGAGGCGGAGGAGGCGCTTGGCTTCTTCTTTCTCGAGTTTCTGGAGCGGGACGCCGGTCATCTTGGAGACGACTTCTGCGATGATCGCTTCGTCCACGAGTCCGGCGGACTCTTGCTGCTTGGCGCGCCATTCCGCTTGGATGTCGTCCTTCTTCTTGCGGAGCTGCTCTGCTTGGTCGCGGAGTTCTGCGGCGGCTTCGTAGTCCGCGTTCTTGACCGCGTCGTCCTTGGCGACTGAGAGCTTCTCGATGTCAGCTTCGATGTCCGCGAGGTTCGGCGGTTTGTTCATCGACTTGATGCGGACGCGAGCGCCGGCCTCGTCAAGCACATCGATTGACTTGTCTGGTTGGACGCGTCCAGAGATGTAACGACCAGAGAGTTCAACGGCGGCACGGATCGCGCCGTCGGTGATCTTGACGCGGTGGTGCTCTTCGTACTTGTCGCGGACGCCTTTGAGGATCTCGACGGCTTGGTCGTCGCTTGGTGGATCCACAGGGATGGACTGGAAGCGGCGATCAAGCGCGGCGTCCTTCTCGATGTACTTGCGGTACTCGTCGAAGGTGGTTGCGCCGACGCACTGGATCTCTCCACGCGCCATCGCTGGCTTGAGGACGTTGGACGCGTCGATGGCGCCCTCGGCACCTCCTGCGCCGACGAGGGTGTGGAGCTCGTCGATGAAGAGGATGATGTTGCCTGCTCGGCGGACCTCGTTCATGACGGCTTTGATGCGTTCTTCGAACTGACCGCGGTACTTGGTTCCCGCGACCATCATCGCGAGGTCGAGGACAACGACGCGCTTGTCGTGGAGGATGTCTGGGACTTCCTGCGAGACGATGCGTTGTGCGAGGCCTTCGACGATCGCGGTTTTACCGACGCCTGCTTCACCCAGGAGGACTGGGTTGTTTTTGGTGCGGCGGCAGAGGATCTGGGTGAGTCGTTCGATCTCGTGGGCGCGGCCAATGACTGGGTCGAGCTGTCCGGTCTGGGCGAGCTCGGTCAGGTCGCGTCCGAAGGAATCGAGCGCTGGGGTTTTGGATTTGCCTTTGCCCTTTGCGGATGGTCCGGATGGGGCATCGGGATCGGAGGAGCTGCTGATCGGTTCGGAGCTTGATTCAGCGCCGGCGCCGAGGAGGTTGAGGACCTCTTCGCGGACTTCTTCGAGTTTGAGCGACAGGTTCATGAGGACCTGGGCGGCGACGCCGTCGTGCTCGCGGAGGAGTCCGAGGAGGAGGTGCTCGGTCCCGACATAGTTGTGGTTGAGGTTTCGTGCTTCTTCGATCGCGTACTCGATGACCTTTTTGGCACGAGGTGTTTGCGGGAGTTTGCCCATGGTGACCATTTCTGGTCCGGCGCGGACGAGTCGCTCGACTTCGAGGCGGACCTTTCGGAGGTCTACTTCGAGGTTTTTGAGCACGTTGGCGCCGACGCCGCTGCCTTCTTTGACGAGTCCGAGGAGGACGTGTTCGGTCCCGATGTACTCGTGGTTGAAGCGTTGTGCTTCTTGGTTGGCGAGTGCCATGACTTTGCGGGCACGATCTGTGAATCGTTCAAACATGCCTAATTCTCCCGCCCCCGGTGTGTTGCCGGGTGCTTGTTGGCGATTGTGGTCGCCTGGTTTCCTGTGTCCCTGCTGTTCAAGTGAACGCAGTGACCTATGGGACTATTCACTCAGCGATGGGGTGCGGATGCACAAGAGTGTCCATGCGCTGCGAGAACGGTCCTCTTTCGTATGTATCGGTTGCATGAGGCGTGCCAGTTGGGCGGGACCTGAAAATCGAGTGCAGATCGTGGTTTTGGGCGTAAAGGTATGAATTTGCATCGGTTTATGGGGGAGATTGACTGTTTATGGATCCGATGCTTTGTGAATTATGGTGCTGAATCGGCGCGGTGGTGCCAAGTTGGCATATCGAGCGCGGCTGTCAGAGGGGTGTTGATGTGTTTGATATCGGGAACAGAATTGTGCGCGTGTGGGTTGGGGATGGTGTAGGCGTACCTATAGTGGACATGGACGATTGAAACTGACTCTCATGCTCGATTCTGAGCGTTTTGAAGAAGGACTTTGGCGTGGCAAACAAGCACTTTGATGTTGTGGTGATCGGTGGCGGGCCTGGTGGATATGTGGGTGCGATTCGGGCGGCGCAGCTCGGGTACAAAACAGCGATCATCGAGCGTGCTCGCTTGGGTGGTGTGTGTCTGAACTGGGGATGCATTCCATCGAAGGCACTCATCGCGAACGCGGAACTGATGGAAAAGCTCGCGGAGCAGGAAGAATGGGGCATCAGCACAGGCGAGGTCAAGTTTGACTGGAACAAGGTCATCGGGCGCTCGCGTGATGTCGCGGACAAGCTCAACAAGGGTGTTGAGTTCCTGATGAAGAAGAACAAGATCGAGTTCTTCAACAAGCACGCGAAGATTGTCAAGGCCGGGCCGAAGGTTGAAATCGAGCTTCGGGACTGCAAGCTCAACGAGGAGTTCACGCCTTCACCTGTGGAGGTTGGGAAAGCAGCAGAGACGATCACGGCGGACAAGGTGATTGTCGCGACCGGCGCGGTTGCTCGTGATCTGCCGTTCGCGAAGTTTGATGGGGACAAGATCTGGGGTGCTCGCGAGGCGATGCACAACAAGGAGAAACCTGACCATTTGATCGTGGTGGGCGCAGGCGCGATCGGGATGGAGTTCGGGTATGTGTACAAGAACTTCGGATCGAAGGTGACGATCATCGAGATGCTGGATCGCTTGGTCCCTGTCGAGGACGAGCAGGTCGGCAAGGAGATGACGAAGGTCTACAAAAAGCACGGCTTTGACGTGAAGGTTAAAACCGGCGTGATGGACATCGACACCAAAGGCAAGGGTGTCAAGGTCACCTGTGCTCCGATCGGCAAGGACGGAAAGCCTGATGCTTCCAAGAAGGAAGTGATCGAGGGCGACAAGGTCTTGCTCGCGATCGGGGTGGTTGGTCGCTTTGATGGGTTGTTCGATGAGTCGCTTGGACTGGAGACGGTCAATGGTCACATCAAGACGGACTATGTGCCTTTGAGCAGTGATTCTCCGAGTGATCCCAAGGCGCTGGATTACAAGACGAATCTGCCTGGGATTTACGCGATTGGTGATGTGATCGGTCCGCCTTGGTTGGCGCACGTTGCTGGTGAAGAGGCGGTGCTGTGTGTCGAGCGGTTCGCATTCAAAGAAGGCAAGGCGAAGCACGATCCCATCCCGATGGATTACACGGTGATCCCAGGATGTACATACTGTCATCCACAGGTCGGATCGGTCGGATACACGGAGCAGGCGCTCAAGGCGCAGGGTCTGAAGAAGGGCGAGGACTACGAGGTCGGCGTCTTCCAGAACCAAGCGCTCGGCAAGGCGATCGCGACGCGTCACACCGATGGGTTTGTCAAGATCATCCGCGGGCTCCCTCGCGGCGAGATCCTCGGCGCGCACATCATGGGTGATCAAGCGACGGAACTCATCGCGGAGCTCACGCTCGGACGCCGTCTCGAAGCGACGACAGAAGAGATCATCGCGACGGTCCACGCGCACCCAACAATGCACGAAGCGGTGCACGAGGCGGCGCTGGCGTCTGAGGGGCGTGTGATCAACTCGTAACTAACTGGGTTTATAAGAAATGTTTGTTCACTGATTCCCGATGCTGTATAGTGCGCTGATGTGCAATATACAGCGGGCTAATTGGCAGTTGTTGTTCACAGCAACTATTCCTTGCGCCATGATGCTTCTTTTCGGATGTCACAGTCATGATGCTGTTCGTGTGACTGACTCGGCAGATGATGACTTGGTTGTGATCCCAAGTGCGTTGCTTTACATTCAAGCCGTGGATCGATTTGTCGTTGAGACCCGCTTGAAGCGTACAAGCGAATCGGATCTGTATCCTGCGAATATTCCGGTACACACGAGACTCCCTGACGGGGAGCTTGTGATTGGGGTGTATCCGCCGAGAGAGTCGCAGCTCAGACCGCCGGGAATGCCGCCTCCGGTTTGGGACATTCCAACGATGATTCGCTATGAAGATGGCGACTGGATCGCTGTACGGGTTCCTGGAAATCTATTTACGGATGGAACTGTGACAACTTCCTACGCGGCGAAAGCAAAGTTCTATGACACGATGACTTGGGAGGAGCGTCCACAATATCGCGTTCGGGTTGACAGCGCCATGTTTCCTAAGTGGCTCTTGCAGAGACGGGAACTCATGAATCAACGAAGAGCAGATCCTTGAATATCGAATGGTTGTATGCCGCGCCAGCTTGAAAGAGCGGTTTTTTTCTTGTGGCCGGGGAAAACACCTATTAGGATGTCGTAGTCTGATAACTTTGAATGAAAGGACGCTCGTGGTGATTTGTATAGATAATAGAGGGGCGCTGTTGGCGCTTGGGGCACTCGCGGTTGGTTCGGTTCACGGCTCGGCGCTTGGCGCTGAGATACTTCCTGAGTCACGCGATTCGATGTTGATGATTACCTTCGCGAATCTTGGATTCACGGCGGGATACGAAGGTGATGGCGCGGATCCGATCCAGCTCTCGAGTGATGCGCTGGATTCGGAAGATGACTTCTTTGTGTTTGATGACATGTTCTATGGTCCTGATGGGTTTGATCGGATCAACACGGGGAACTTCACGGCAGAGCAGGATGTGACCTTCGAACCTGGGTTGATGGGGTTCGATTTCTCGGCGTTTGCGACGGTTTCGGGGGATGCAAATCCACTCATCACGATCGACAACGACATGTTCGTGTACTTCGCGGTCAGCGAGGACACGAGCGCGACGCTGACGGTTGAGTACGACGGCGATACCAATGTTGGTGATGACGCGGTGGGGTGTCGATTGCGTGAGGTTGGGCCTGGGAGTGATCCGGTTGTTCTGGACACACTGTTTAATCTCGGCGCGTTCCCTGATGGGCCTGGCATGATTGAGATGGAAGTGGATTTGATCGCGGGCAATCGGTACCGCTTCTATGTCGACAGTCACGCGCGGAGCTTGGTCACGGTTGGCGCAAACGAGAGCTCGATCAATGTGACGCTGGCGCTGCCTTGTCCGGCGGACTTTACTGGAGAGGGCGACCTGAACTTCCTTGATGTCAGCGCGTTTCTTGAAGCGTACGGCAATATGGATCCGAGCGCGGACTTTGAAGAGGACGGAAACTTCAACTTCCTCGACGTCAGCGCGTTCCTCGCGGCGTACGCGGATGGATGCCCATAACTGATCTGATGGCGGTGCGCTGTGTCTGCGCGCATGAATGAATACATGCAAGGAGATACGAATGCAGACTCAGACGGTGTTGTTCAGCGCTTTGCTTTCATCGTTCATGGCTGGCTCGGTGGCATACGGACAAGCGTGTGATCCGATGTCAATCTTTGCTCCGGAGGTTCGGACGCAGATGGGGAGTGCGCCGGAGGATATCGCGGCGGCAGATTTTGATGAGGATGGAGATCTGGATCTGGTGATTGCTGGGGTCACGCTCGGGACTCGATTCTTCCAGGTGATGCTCAACAACGGGGACGGGAGCTTCGCGGCTCCGGTTGAGTTTCCGCTCATGAGCAATCCGTTCTGTGTGGTGGTCGCAGATATGAACAACGACTCGCATATGGATGTCATCGTTGGGCACGGATCGATCCCTGATGTGTCGATCGCGCTGGGGGACGGCATGGGGGGGTTTGCGCCGGCGGTGCAGCACAGCGCTGGAGGGTTCGCGACGATCAGTGATCTGGTGGTCGGCGACTGGGACGGTGATGGGTTCAACGATGTCGCGGTGGTGGTCAACGGTAATCACATCCGCACGCTGCAGGGGGACGGCGCTGGAGGGCTTGGGCCTCAGACATCCAAGCTGACCTTTGGGGTGACGATCGCGCTGGCGGTTGCGGACCTCAACGCGGACGGCGATCCGGATCTTGTGCTTGGTGATCAGAACGGTGAGGTCAAAGTGCTGTACGGGATCGCGGGCGATGACTTCGCGGTCCAGACTGGTGTGGATGTTGATGTGCTTGTGCAGCATCTTGATCTTGCGGATATGGATAACGATGGGGATCTCGATGTGGTGGTGTCAGGGTTGCTGCCATCTGAGATAGTGGTGGTCGAGAACACGGGCGGAGGCGTGATGACGCTTGGTCCGCGTCAGAGCATCGCGATTGTTCCGCAGGGAGTCGCGACGGCAGATTTTGATTCGGACGGGAACAACGATGTGATCGTGGCGTTGTCGAATACCAATGCGCTGGCGCTGATGCGAGGGAATGGTGATCTGACGCTCAATGCACAGGTCAACTACGGCGCTGGATTCGACAACCTGAGGGTCGTCGCGGGTGATCTGGACGGCAACGGGTCGGCGGATGTTGCGTGCGCGTCGGGCAATGGGTTGTCGGTATCGGTGCTGCTCAATGCGTGCTCGGCGGGATGTCCGGCGGATCTGACTGGGGAGGGTGATCTGAACTTCCTCGATGTCAGCGCGTTCCTGGCGGCGTACGGGAGTATGGATCCGATCGCGGACTTTGAACCTGATGGGGTGTTCAACTTCCTTGATGTGAGCGCGTACCTCGCGGCTTTCGCGGCGGGATGTCCCTAGCTGCAACCCCTGCTTTCAAGGCATGAATTGTCTGCCAGCTGTCCGGTGTAGAACTGCGTTTAATTTAGGACTAAGATATCCTGATTCAGGTGTGGGCTGAGTCGCCCGGACGCCTGGGAAGGGAGACATCATGTTGATGGGTTGGCTTTCAGCTTCGCTCATAGTTGGGCTCGGCTTGGTTCACAGTGCGCCGGGGCAGGTGATCCATGAGGATGCGAGCTACTTTCCAGCGCCGACGCTGCAGGGGCAGTATGGGTTCAGCGTCGATGTTGATGCTGGAGTCATGGTTGTGGGCGCCCCATTTGATAATGAACGAGGGTTGCTGGCAGGAGCGGCGTATCTTGTAGACCTTGAGACGGGGAGTCAGATTCGTCTGCTCCCTGTTGAGGTCAACGCGGGTGATCAGTTTGGGTTCCGTGTTGCGATCAGCGGAGATTACGCGGTTGTGGGTGCGCCGTTCGACAGTGATCAGGGATTGAGCACAGGAGCGGTGTACATCTTTGATTCGTCGAGTGGTGCTCTGTTGCACACGATTTCAGGATCTGCAAACTCGGAGTTTGGCGAGGATGTGGATATCGATGGAACGCTTCTGATCGTCGGCGCACGCGTCCATAGCAACGGGGGAGAGGCGTACTTGTTTGATGTTGTGAGTGGGAACTTGCTGCATGTGCTTCCGAATCAATCCGCGTTTGGATTCGACGAGTTCGGGGATGGGGTCGCTGTGAATCAAGCGATGGGGATCGCGTGTGTGGGCGCTCCGGATGAGTTCAACTCGACGGTTGGTCAGCGGATCGGTGCTGTGCATCTGTTTGATGTTGGGACAGGGGGGTATCTACGGACGCTGATCCCGAGCGGGATCAATGAGTTTGTTGATCTGGGCGCCAGTTTGGATGTGCGTGATGGATTGGTGCTTGTGGGAGCGCCCGCGGCACCCAACTCGCCGAGCGGTGCGGGCGCGGCTTATGTATTTGATGCAATGAGCGGCGCTGAGCTCTTGACGTTGACTATTGATGATGCTCCATCGCCTACACAGCGCAACGCGCTGGGATATAGCGTGAAGCTGGGGGATGGTTTGGCACTGCTCGGCGCGCCGGAGTGGGATTTCCAAGGCACGGGAGAGGGATTCGACAACGGCGCGGGGTTCTTGTTTGAACTCAGCACTGGTCAGCTCGTCCACACTTTCTATCCATCGGGAGCGACTCTGGGAGATCGCACAGGGTCAGGGGTCGGGATCGATGGCTCAACGGTGGTGCTTGGTTCACCTTTGGATGACTATCCGGGCGGATTCAATGCTGGGTCAGTGGGTGTGTACACGCTGCCTTGTGCGGCTGATCTGACGATGGACGGAGCGCTGAACTTTTTGGATGTCAGCGCGTTCCTCACGGCGTTCTCTACACAAGATCCGGCTGCGGATTTCAATAACGATGGGATGTTCAACTTCCTTGATGTGAGTGCGTTCCTCTCAGCGTTCTCCGCGGGTTGTCCATGAGATTTGAACAGAACTGAATCGCTCGAAACCCGCATTCGTGCGGGTTTTTGCTTTGCTGGTTCGGGATGGTGTGTTACGATGCGTGCTGTTCCGGGGGAGAGGGGTGTGGGAGATGGAGATCTATTTATGTTACGAGATGTTGTTGGACCCACTGTGGGTGTCTTTATTGGACTAGCCGCTGGCGCGGTATCGGCGCAGGATGTGTTGCTGATCCCTGATTCGTCGGCGGACTCGGTGTGGGTGTTTGATGCGTTTGATGGTTCGCTCATCGATAACGCATTCATCACTGATCCCGGAAGCGACAACGGCGTGGATGTATTTGATCGTCCATTGGAGGTGTTGGTTGCATCGGACGGGACGCTGCTGATCACGGATCAGTTTGCCAATGTCGTGTCTCGCTTTGCCATCGATGGGACCTTCATCGAGATCATGTCGCTCGGCGGGGTGGAAGACACAAACATCATGAACAACATCCGCGGCGGTCATGTGCTCACGAGTGGTCCCGACGCGGGAGATGTGCTTGTGACCAACTCCGGTGCGTTCAATGATCTGGTGGTCTCGCAGAAGAATGTGAAGCGGTTGAATCCTAGTGATGGTTCGGAGCTGACAGACTTCGCGTTCAATCGCTACGGCGGGATCCGCGGGCCGTTTGATGCGTTGGAGTACAACGGCGAGGTCCTTGTCGCGGATGAGGGTCAGGACAAGATCGTGCGCTACACGCTTGAGGGAAAGTTCAACGAGCGGTTTACGAGTGCACTTGCCGTGCCTCAGCTTGATTTCCCTCAGCAGATGGCGATCGCGAGCAACGGGAATTTGCTTGTTTGTGCGTTCAGCAGCGGATTCATTCTGGAGTTTGATTCCAGCGGATCGCTCGTGGGTCAGTACGATCCCGGCACGCTTGAGTTGTATCGAGGGATTGCAGAACTCGGGAACGGGAACCTGCTTGTCACCACAACAAGCGGCGTGTTTGAGGTCACTCGGACGGGTTTGGTCGTCGAGACTGAAGCGGCGGGCGATGGATTCCGCTACATCACGAAGGTCGGATCGGTGATCCTCCCTCGGCGTGCGCCAAAGGAGTCAACAGACGAAGTCGTCGCGAAACCTGATCCGCGGGATCGGGATGAGATCATGCGTGATGAGCGCGGACTTTCGAAGGGAGGCTCGCGATGAAGCTTGCACAGATTGGTTTGATCGGATTGACTGCTGGACTGGTTTCGGGATCGGCTCATGCTGGGACGGCGACGCACGCGTACATCATCGAGGGTTCCGGATTCTTCGGTGCGCCGGGGATCGAGCTGGCGCAGGTGGGTCGCGTGAATCTTTCGGATCCGAGCGATGTCGTGCGGACTCCGATGGCTGGGGATCTGCTCCGCTTTGGCGGAGGGGATATGAACGCTTCGGGTGAGGTCATCGGGTTTGAGAACACGACCAACGCGCTGCGCACTGTTGATGTCAAGAGCGGCGGGAACACGCTGATCGACTCGATCGGGTTTATCGACTCGGGAGTCGCCGGGATGACACTGACCAACGATGGATCGACAGCGATCGTGGTCGGGACGGTGGGCGCGTTCTCGCGCTTCGTGCTCGCTGACGCGGAGACTGGTGCCGTGCAGAGCGTGCACAACATTCTCAACTTCGATGCGATCGGTTCGATCGCTGTGGTTCCTGAGGGGCACCCTTCGTTGATGCCTGGTGATTTGTACGGCTTAGCGCTGACCTCTGGCGGGAGCGTGCGCTTGGTGCGGATTGATCTTGGCGCCAACACGATCACCACGGTGCATACCTTGTTCGGCGTTGGGTTCAGTGCGCAGTTTGAGACTGGATTGGACTTTGCGAGTGACGGCACGCTCTATGGAATGATTCAGGGCTTTGACGAGATCGCGCCGGATCAGTTCGTGGAGATCTCCAGTCACTTGTACACGATCGATACCACGACCGGAGCGCTCAACCTCCTCGGCGTGGTCGAAGCGGACGGCACATGGGACGCGGTCACGCTCGTGATTGACGAAGCGCCGGATACATCGTGTCCCGCGGATCTGACTGGGGAGGGTGACCTGAACTTCCTCGATGTTTCCGCGTTCCTCGCGGCGTACGGGAAAATGGATCCCATCGCGGACTTTGAAGCGGATGGGAGTTTCAACTTCCTTGATGTGAGCGCATACCTCTCGGCGTACAGCGCTGGGTGTCCTTGATTGGGTATACATCAGTTTTTGAGCCTCGCATCGATGATGCGGGGCTTTTTTTCATGCCTCTGATACCGTGGACACGGCACATGCAACGCAGTTGGGTTGGGTGCACCTGATTGGATAGAAAGGACAGCACTATGAACAGCCTGCAGCGGATCATTGAGGGTTTAAATCAAGGGATTGGTGCGGCTTTGCGCGTTGCTGTGTGTTTGAGCTGCTTCGTGAGCGGAGCGAACGCGGATTGGCCGAGCGGGGTTGGGACTTCGATTGATGCGGGACCGATCAATAATTTTATTGGCGGCGAGCACGCGATGGTTTCGGGTGATGACGGCTCAGTATGGGTTTCGTGGCAGGATAGTTTCTGTGTCGGACAACTCCGCGTGCAGCGTGTCGGATTTGAGGGTGACCTGCTGGTCCCGATGGGGATCGCGGCGCAGGACGATCCGACGTGTGGGTTCTTTCTGCCTCCGAGCATGACTGTTGTTGGGGATGAGCTTGTGGTGAGTAGGGCGCTGGCGTCGGTGATGGATTCTCCGGTGCTGCGCTTTGATGAAATCGGCGCGCCTGTGTGGGGTGATGGGTACTCGGGGGAATCGGGGGTTGTGCAGGGTTTGGGCCAGCTGGTGACATTGTCAAATGGAGACGTGCTTGTTGTTACGAGCAGCGGCGGGTCGATCCTGGCGCAGCGCGTGGGCGCTGATGGGAAGTCGGTCTGGGATGAGCAGGCGGTGGTGGTCGATGGGATCACCTCGAACCATCGGGTGTTCTCAGTCGTCGCGGATCAGAGCGGCGGCGCGATCGTGTTCTGGGATATTCATCTCGCGTATACCAAACTCATCTTTGCGGTGCGGATCAACGCGCAGGGTGAGCGGGTCTGGGACGAGACGCTGCGGATCGTTGAAGCGCCTCCTGGAGTCGCGAGCTCGCGGCACAGCGATCCGGTTGCGGTCAGTGACGGCGCCGACGGCGCGGTGGTGGTCTTTGCGAAGGGGTTCGAGACCGGGACGACTCCCGCCCCGCTGCTGATGCAGCGGGTGAACAGCGACGGGACGCTGGCGTTTGATATCGGGGGCGTGCGCGTTTCGGACAGTCTGGATCGTCAGTTTTTCCCAGAGGTTGTGGTGGATCCAGCGACGCGGGATGTGTTTGTGGTGTGGTACGAGGGGCTGATCAATGCGAGCGTTCGCGCTCAGCGGATGGATCTGCTCGGACAACAACTGTGGGGGAGCGAGGGAGTCGAGGTGCGGGCGCTCTCGCAGGACCTCGCACGCTTTGATGCGGATGTTGTTGATGACGAGCTCTGGGTCGTGAGCGCGGATCTCGATGAGATCGCGGTGCACGCGTTTGGTGCTGATGGAACTGCGATGAGCGGCTCGGGATGGGGTGTCACGGATGAAGGATCGCAGGGACGCGTGCAGTGCGTTGCGAGCGGCGACGGGGCCGTGGTCGGATGGATCGGCACCAACGAAAACGGCGTTGGATCAGTCTTTGTGCAGCGCGTGAATGATGGTGGACGCGTTGGGCATCCGGCGTGCAGTGGGGTGGATCTTGCTGAGCCGTTTGGTTCGTTGAACTTCTTGGATGTGAGCGCGTTCTTGAGTGCGTTTGCGGCTCAGGATCTGTCGGTTGACTTTGAATCCGATGGCTCGCTGAACTTCTTGGATGTCTCCGCGTTCTTGTCGGTCTTCAGTGGCGGATGTCCGTGAGCATCTGCTGAGTTGTTGATTCAAAATATAAAAAGAGCCCCGAATGTGCGTCGGGGCTCTTTGGGATTTTGGAATGAGGAATGTCTTTAAACAGGGACTCCGAGGAGCGCCATGACTTTGTTGACGATGTCCTGAGCAGTCAGGCCGCACATCTGGAGCATTTCGTCTGGGGTGCGGGCGCTCTTGGGGATGCGCTCGACATACATCTGCGCCAGTTCGAAGCCGTCTCCAGATTCCATGAGCGCGTCGGCGATTGCGGAACCGAGTCCTCCGCCGTAGTTGTCTTCGAGGGAGACGACGAATCCGCCGTTGGCGGCGACGATGTCCAGGAGCTTATCGGTGTCGAAGGGGATCGAGTACATGTCGAGGAGAGTCGCGGAGACGCCCGCTTTATCGAGCAGCTCGACGGCTTTGTTGCCTTCGTGGACCATGATCCCGGAAGCGGCGAGGACGATGTCGCGTCCTTGCGCGAGGGTTTCGAATCCGCCGAGGTTGAAGACATGGTCGTCGGAGTACAGCAGCTCGGTGTCGGCGCGAAGTGTACGCATGTAGCACATGCCTTCGTATTCCGCCATGGTCGCGGTGAGTGAGTACGCGGCGTACGCGTCGGCGGGCTGAAGAATGTAGCATCCTGGATTGCCGCGATGATCGGTCGTCAGTGAGAGCGAACGGAACCAAGCGACATCGGGAAGAGACATCTGTGATGGTCCGTCAGCGGCGAGGGTGATCCCGGAGTGTGAACCAACGATCTTGAGGTTCGCGCCGGAGTTCATACCCATCTCGATCTGGTCGTACGCACGCGTGAGGAACTTCGCGAAGCTGGAGCAGAACGGGACCTTCCCGGCGGCGCTCATGCCGGCGCCTACGGAGATCATGTTCTGTTCTGCGATTTTGCATTCGATGAAGCGATCCGCGTTGTCTTTGTTCTTTGCGAAGGTTTCGGAGAAGGTCGAGTTGGAGACATCCGCATCGAGGACGACGACGTCGGGGTTGGTCGCGCCCAGGGCGCGGAGCGCGACGCCGTATGCTTTGCGTGTCGCGAACTTCCCTGTGTGGAGGACATTCTCCATGTCGAGCTCGCGCATCGCTTCAGAGAGGGTGAGCAGGTCGTCGCTTGGGAGCTGACGATCCGGAGCTTGCGCGGGTGGTTCGATCGTGAACTGATCAGTCCCTGCGAGCGAGGAGGTGAGTTCGATGCGTGCTTCGTTGAGCTCGGCGAGAGCTTTTTCGAGTGCTTCGCCGGTCGCTGGCTTGCCGTGCCATCCGCCGCCTTGGAGTGAGGGGCAGCCCCATCCCTTGATGGTGGTCGCGATCACAGCGATTGGCTTGGCGGTTGGATCCGCGGAGACGGCGGTGAAGCGGTCGAACGCGTCTTTGATTTGGTCTGGTGCGTGTCCATCGATGCTGATGACTTCGAAGCCGTAGGCGGCGAACTTGGCAGCGAGGACTTCTGGGGATTGTTGTCCTGAGACGCGATCGGCTTGGCCGTACTCGTTGCAGTTGACGATGGTGCAGACATTGGAGAGTTGGTGGTCGATGATGAAGTCCATCGCTTCGGCGATTTGTCCTTCGCGGACTTCGCCGTCGCCGCAGAGGCAGTAGACGCGTCGGTCGGTGCCGTCGAGACGCGCGGCTTTCGCGACACCTGCGGCGACGGAGAGACCCTGTCCGAGCGATCCGGTCGCGGCGTCGAAGAAGTCCACGCCTTCCATTGGGTTTGGGTGACCATCGAGGACGGACTTCCACTCGCGGAGTGTGGAGAGGTCATCGACAGTGAGTTTGCGGCGATTGTCGGCGTCTCCGACCATGACGCCGAGGGTCGCCATCGCGGCGTAAACGGCTGGGACAGCGTGGCCTTCGGAGAGGACGAGGCGATCTGATGTTGGGTAGTTGGGGTAGTCAGGGGACCAACGCATCGAGGAGAACATGAGGGTCGTGACGATGTGTCCGATGCTCATGGCGCTGGTGGGGTGACCTGTGCCTGATGCGGCGGTCATTTCGAGCGAGAGGCGGTCGAGTTCGATGGCTTGTGCGTGGACGGCGGCTTCAAATGACATGAGGGGACCTCCAAAAACGACGATGCCGCCCTTCCTGGACCCCTGTCACCGGCCTCAACACGAGGAAAATAGGGGTCCGGAGCGCGGCGGTCGCGGGTAAGTTGTTGTTCTGACAGCGAGTCTAGCGCCTCTTGGAGGCTTGCATTCGTCATGGATGAGCAGTGGCACTGAAATTGTTAGGATTGGGTCGAATTCTTGGGTCGATTCATTCCCATTCTGGGTCGGATTGGTCCAGAGGCGATGCCGAGGATGGGAGGGTTTGCTAGAATACAGGACACAAAAACCCACCCTGAAGGTGGGCTTGGAGTCTACTCATGAAAGTTATCTGCGAACGGGCGGCACTGCTCGAAGCGGTCAATCAGGTTTCCGGGGTGGTGGCATCGAGATCCCCTCGCCCGCAGTTGACCTGTATCAAGCTCACGGCGACCAACGACGCGCAGGGCGCGGAGCTGGTTCTTTCCGGTACAGACGCGGAAATCGCGCTCTCTGTGCGGATCGGACGCGTTGAGGTTGAGCAGGAAGGCACGGCTCTTGTCCCAGCCGACAAGCTGCGCCAGATCGTCTCGGCGGAGGACAATGAACCAACGCTGACGATCGAGTCATCTGGAGAGACCACGCACATCCGCGGTGCGGATGCACACTTCCAGCTCCACGGCTTTGACTCCAAGGATTTCCCGCAACTCGCTGACTTCAAAGGGGTTTCGGAAGGATCATCGGCGACAGCGCCGGCGAAATCGATCTTCTCGCTCGATGCCGGGACGCTCGACATGCTCATCGCTCGCACGCTCTTCGCAGCGGCGCGTGAGAACTCGCGCTACGCGATCAACGGCGTGCTGCTGGTTCGTGAGGGCAAGAAGCTTGATCTGATCGCGACTGACGGACGCCGGCTCGCGAAGAGTGGCGCTTCGATCGATTCCAAGGGTGAATCGGCGCAGTGCATCCTCCCTTCCAAAGCGCTCTCGATGATCCAGAAGATGGTCGCGGACGAGAACGAAGCGGTGCATATCGCCGTGACGGACAATCAAGCGGTCATCGCGTTTGGTGATGATCCGACGGACGCTCGTGCGACGCTCTCGACGAATCTTGTCGAGGGGACTTTCCCACCGTACGAGGATGTGATCCCGAAGGATCAGGACATCAAGGTGACCTTCAATCGCGATGTGCTCAACTCGGCGGTCAAGCGTGCAGCGCTGCTGACCAACGAGGAATCACGCGGCGTGCGCCTCGCGTTCAACGGCGGTGAGAAGTCACTGGAACTCTCGTCCCGTGCTCCGGAGATGGGAGAAGCGACGATCAATGTGGGTCTGGACGCGTATGTGGGTGATGATATCGAGATCGGGTTCAATCCGGCGTTTATCACCGATGCGCTCAAGGTGATCCACGACAACGAGGTCATGATCGAGCTCAAGTCTGGGAACAAGCCTGGATTGTTCAAGGCTGGGAACGACTTCGTGTATGTCGTAATGCCGGTGAATCTGAGTTAACTCTCGGCTGAAACTGATCTGAACTACGAAGCTGATTTGGAGTATTCAGTCGATCGCGTGCTCGGACGCTCTTGGAGCGTTCGATGGTGACGCTGCGCTGATTCTGTGCTCTGGTGCGCACTGTGATGCGAGGAATGGAATACAGACTCGCGCTGAGAGGGTGCTTGCTGGATCGCGTGCGCACGGCGTCGGGCGGCTTTGCGGTCGCTGCGTTCGAGCAGCAGGACAGGGGCCGGGACACAGAGCAAGATCAGCACGCATACGAGCGCGATGGTCGGAGCTGTGCGGATCGTCTCAGGATTCATCAGCGCGATGAGGATAGCGATTCCTGTGAGAACAGTGAGGGTCCCCACGCTGAGCAGTGCGCCCCAGAAGAGCTTGTGTTGTGGATGAGAAACAGATTCACGCATCATCAATGGGGTTGCTCATTCTCTGAGGTACGGATGATTGGTCGCATCCTTGCGGCCGGGCAGAGGATATGGGGCAAACTCGCCTTGGACAGGGCACGGATCCGTTTTCCAAGCAAGTTTCGGGTGGTGCAGAGCGAGTCAGCGGTGTATCGTCCACATCGACAATGACCATTGAATCCCTCCCCATCCTGAATCCATCGCGTTGGTGCTCAAGCAGAGCGCTCAAGCGGTGTGCGATGGTGGTGATGATCGCGGGCGGCGTGCTCTCGATGACCCCCACTGTTGCGACGGCGCAGGATGCCGGGACGATCTCCGATGCGGAGGTCTACGAGAATCGACCGATCGCGGCGGTGCTCGTGCGCGGATCGATCACTGCGGAAGGTACGCGGACTCCGTTGAGTCCTGAGGCGTATCAGCAGGCGCTCAATGTGCTTGTGTCCAAAGCCGGCGGGATCTTCGATGCGCAGGTCGTCCGCGATGATGTGCGTCAACTCAATCGATTGGGACTGTTCCAGCGCGTCGAGATCTATGCAGGACTGACTGAGAATGGTGAAGTCGAGCTCGCGTTTGATCTGCTCGAGCGGATGCAGGTGATCGATGTCCAGGTGACTGGGAACACGGAGATCAGCGACGCGGAGATCCGCAGCGTGATCGATGTCATCCCTGGGACACCGATCGATCGATTCCAGATCGATCGATCGGCGCGTCGCGTCGAGGAGTTGTATCGCGCCAAGGGCTACTACTTCGTTCGTGTGAATCTCGATGAAGAGGAACTCGCGGATACCGGTCTGGTCATCTTCCGCGTGCTCGAAGGGAATCGGCTCAAGGTCACAGCGATCCGTTTCTCAGGGAACGAAGCTTTTGAGAACAAAAAACTCCGGCGCGAAGTGGACACCAAACAAGCGAACATCTTCCGGCGTGGTCAGCTCGATGACTCGGTGCTGGATGTGGATATCGCGAACTTGATCGAGTTCTATCGTGATCGTGGGTATCTGGATGTGCGAGCGGATCGTCTGATCCAGCCTGCTCCCAATGGTCGTGAAGCGATCGTGACCTATCTGATCGAAGAAGGTCCGTTGTACACGATGCGTGAGGTCCAAGTGGACATCGTGAGTCCCGACGGAGCGGATCAGGTGTTTACGCGTGAGCAGATTGCGGGATTGATGTCGATCAAGCCGGGTGATGTGTACTCAGTGCGCGATCTCGACGAATCTTTGAAAACGATCCGCGAAGCGTATGGGCAGATGGGGTACATCGACGCGGTCGCTGAGCGTTTGGAGCGTCGCGACGAGAACGAGCCGTTGGTGGACCTCGTTGTCGCGATCTCGGAGGGGAGTCGTTCGCGTGTTGGTGAAGTGATTATCCAAGGGAATGACCTGACAAGACAAGAGGTCATCCGCCGGCAGATCGAACTCAAACCCACGCGTCCGCTGGATTCCAATGCGATGGAGCGGAGCAAGACTCGTTTGCGTCTGCTGCGATTGTTCAATGAGCGTTCTGGCGCCAAGGTGACACCCCAGGAATCTGGTGTAGAGTTCTTCGCGGAAGTTTGGGACGATGAGTTTGTCCCCAGAGCACGACGAGAGCAACAGCCGAGCGAGAGCGCGGACGGAATCGAGCAAGAGCAGACTGATCCGATCACGCTGACGCTGTCGCCTCCGGATAACACAACATTTCGAGATGTGCTGATCGAGATCGAAGAAACCAATACAGGGAGTTTCGATCTTGGTGGTGCGGTGTCCTCGGACTCCGGCGTAATCGGTCGCATCGCGATCACGCAGCGGAACTTTGATCTGAGTGACACTCCCGACTCGTTTGGTGAGTTCATCTCAGGAAGAGCGTTCCGTGGCGGAGGTCAAACTTTCCAGATCGAGGCGCTCCCTGGTAACGAGGTTCAAACCTATCGGATCTCACTTTCAGAGCCGTATCTGCTTGAATCGAACTACTCAGGTTCGGTGAGCGCGTTCTTCCGAAAGCGCGACTTTGATGAGTTCGATGAAGAACGCTACGGCGGCACGCTCGGACTGGGGCGTCGATTCGGGACTCGATGGATCGGCAACCTGAACTTCCGATACAACGAGATCGAGCTGAGCGATATCGATCCGGCGCGTCCTGTCGATGTGTTCCGCGATGCGATGCCGACAACGCTCGTTGGTCTCTCGGCTTCGCTCTCGCGGACCACGCTCGATTCGCGCACTCGACCCACCAAGGGTTCACGCAGTTCGATTAGTGTTGAACAGGTCGTGGGTGACTATCAGTTCACGCCGATCAACTTGAGGCACAACACCTTCATCCCGATCCGTGAGGACTATCTGGGACGATCAACGATCCTGAAACTCAGCACGCAGGTTGGGTATATCCCGCAGGGCCGTGACGATACGCCGACTTATGAGCGCTACTACTCCGGCGGACAGCAGTTCCGTGGATTTGAGTTCCGTACGATCTCACCAAAGGGCATCCGCAACGATAATGGATTGCCTTCGGACGATCCTGTTGGTGGTACCTATCAGTTCTTCTTTGGCGCTGAGATTCAGCAGCCGATCTATGAAGACTTCTTGTCGCTCGTCGCGTTTGTTGATTCGGGTACGGTGACCTTTGATCCAGGATTCGACGATTACCGCGTTGCGGTGGGTTTTGGGTTCCGTATTTTCATGCCGGCGTTATCTCCGGCACCGCTCGCGTTTGACTTTGGTTTCCCGGTCGTGAAGGAAGACGGCGACAAAGAGCGGCTGTTTACCTTCTCGGTGGACCTGCCCTTTAACTAAAATCACTGATTTTTTGTGGTCAACCTTTGTTCTGTCGCGCGGTATATGATTGCGGGACGAACTGTTTTGATTAGGAGATTGCACCAGATGCACAAGACACAGAAAGCTTTTTTCACGATCGCAGGAATCGCGATGCTGCTCAGCGCGGTGTTCGCTGTCCGCGCTGGAGCCACTGCTTCGCGTCCTCCCGCACAGCCTACAGCAATCGCGGTCGTTGACATCGTGGACATCATCGCGGGACTCAACGAACGCGAGGTGCTGGAGAATCAGCTCAACGAGCGTATGGATGCTCGTCAGGCGCAGCTCAATGAGGTCGTTGAAGAGATCAAGGTGTTGGAAGCGGATGTCCAGATGCTGACCAAGGGGACCGACGAGCATCGTGAGAAGCTCCGTGAGTACCTCGAGAAGCAAGCGGTCGCGAAGGCGCGTCGCGAAGCGCTGTCCCAGATCGTCTCGATCGATATGGGCAATGTGATGGCGGGTCTCTACGGCAAGGTCGAAGCCGCGATCACCAGCATTGCCGAGCGTGAGGGATACGACATTGTGCTCATGGACGATTCTGAGTTCCCGCTCCCTGAGAACGCTCCGGATCCGGATGTGTATCGCGCGATCATCACCAAGAGTGTGGTCTATCGTCACGATTCGATCGACATTACGCAGCAAGTCATCACACTGATGAACAACGAGTTCAGCGCCCCGTGAGCTGTGGATCACACGGAAAGCAGAACTTTGTATAATGAGCATCATGACCTCATCCGAGACTGATTCTGTGCAGCCAGCTTCTGAGCGATCGGGGGCGAGTGGTCTGGATCTGCCCATCAGCTCTGGGATGCTCGCGGGATTGCTCGATGCAAAGCTTGTTGGGAACTCGGATGTCGCACTTGATAATCTTGGATCGATCGAAAGCGGCGGCGCAAGCACGCTGACTTTCATCCGATCCAAAAACTACGCGAAACTGTGGGCGGATTCCAACTGCGGCTGTGCCTTAGTCAGTGAGGGGATCGAGGTCTCGGATCACGATCTTGAGAGTAGAGCGCTGATCATTGTTCCCGATGCGGACGAGGCGCTCGTTCGTATCCTTGATGCGATGAATCCGGGTCGTGAGCACCCCAAAGCGGGTGTGCATCCGACGGCGGTGATCGATGAGTCGGCATCTATTGATCCATCCGCCGCGATCGGGCCGTGTTGTGTGATCGGCGCTGGATCAACTGTTGGTCCCGGCACAGTGCTCATGGCAAACATCACGATCGGAGTCGATGTCCAGATCGGCAAAGACACGATTCTTGATCCCGGTGTGGTGATCGAAGATCGTTGCGTGATCGGTGCTCGCTGCATCATCGGCGCCAACAGCGTGCTCGGCAGTGATGGGTTTGGGTATCTGCCTCCGACGAAGAATCGCAAAGCGATCAAGGTCCCTCAGATCGGGACTGTCAAGATCGGCGACGATGTCGAGCTCGGCGCGTGCGTGACCATTGATCGCGCGAAGTTTGGCGCCACGACTGTTGGGGATCGCACGAAGATCGATAATCAAGTGCACATCGCGCACAACTGTGTCGTCGGATCCGATGCGCTCATCTGCGGAAGAACCACGCTCGGCGGCTCAGCAAGCGTCGGAGACAACGCGATGGTCGGCGGTACCGTGGTCGTGAATGACCACGCACGCATCGGAAACGACACGCGCGTCGCTGGGAGCTCGGTCGTCTTGGACGAGGTTCCCGATGGCGAGACTTATGCCGGGGTTCCCGCGATGCCGGCGCGTCAAGCGATGCAGAACTACGGCGCCGCGCGCGAGCTCGGATCATTCGTGCGATCTGTCGAGAAGCGGCTCAACAAGCTCGAAGCAGACCAATCTGATTCTTCAAGCTCCTAATGCTGCAACGCACACTCCAATCACAAACGATCATCGAAGGAATCGGCTTATTCAGCGGCGAGGATGCTCGTTGTGTGCTGTGTCCTGCTGAGACTCATCATGGGATCTCGTTCGAGTTTAACGGCGAATCAATTCCAGTCTGTGCGTCGTCGATCAATAGCGAGCCTGTACATGCTGTGTTTGCGCAGCTACCGCCCCGATGTAGTGCTGTCGGATCCAGTGGCTCAATCGTGTGGACTGTCGAGCATGTGCTCTCGGCGCTGAGGGGGCTGGGTATAAACAACGCGCGGATTGAGATGAACGCACGAGAACTCCCGATCATGGATGGCTCAGCGCAAGCGTTTGTCGATGCAATCCACTCCGTTGGAATACAAGAGCAGGAACACCAAGCTGATCCGATCGTAATCAAGGACACTGTTCGCGTAGAGCGTGGAGATGCGTGGATCGAAGCAGCTCCATCAGACCAACTGCTGTATGAATACACGCTCGACTACGGCGAGGATTCGCCAGTTGCAGCAGCAACAGTGCACTGGGACGGCGATCGATCAAGCTACGAGCAGCTCATCGCGCCGGCGCGGACATTCAGTCTTAAGCACGAGGCTGACATGATGCATCAAGCGGGATTGTTCACACGATTCACTCCTAAGGATCTGCTCGTGCTCGATGCGAATGGACCGATCGATAATGCGCTTCGTCATGAGCATGAGTGCGCGTATCACAAGCTGCTTGATCTGATTGGGGATGTAGCGCTGCTCGGGAATTCGGTGATGGGCACGATCCGTGCGCACAAATCCGGTCATTTACTCGCGCATGAGCTTGTTCGTGCGATCGATCAGCAGCAGTGACACGATCTGTGCGCCTTTCTGAATGACGACGGATTTCTTGCGCTCTGAAGATTGGTCTGTGCTGATACAATTGACTCCCCCACTCCTTCTGATCCCGCGGCGCGCGAGTGCGAACGCTCCGTCTTGTGCGCGTTGAGTTGAGCGTGGGAGATGTGTGATGTTCAAACGAGTGGTGTATCTAGTTGTTGTGTGTCTGATCTGCGTGCAGATTGGCGCGTGCGCTCCAGTGGGTCAGTCCATCGATCGGCTGAGCATGATGCGTGAACAGGCGAACGAGATTCGTGCGGATCTGCAGTCGCAGATCGATGAGCTGGAGCTGATGCGCGAGTCGTTCCCGGATGGATCGGATCAGCGGATCGGGATCGAGGGTCTGATGGCGCAGGTGCACGCGAAGCTCGCTGTTGTTGATGCGGCGATTGTGCACGCGGATCAGATCATCGAGAGCGCGAGCAATCCGAGTGATCCGCTCACGATCGCGGCGGACTCGATCTCGCCGTATGTTCCCGCGCCGATCCAGGCGCCGTTGGTGCTCGGCGCGGCATTGGTCGCGACGATCATGCGATCGAGGTCGCTCAAGGTTGGGACGCAATCGATTGTCGAATCGATCGATCATGTGCTCCGTAAGGACGAGTCGTTCAAGCAAGCATTCGCGGCGAACGCGGACACAATCCGCACGATCCAGACGCCGAGCGCTCGCAAGATGGTCGAGAAGTGGAAGAAGTGATGCTTACTCGCTGATCTGTGTGCTCAGCGCCAGTTCGAGTCGATGATCTCCGGTGCGGATCGCGCGGATGTTGACGACGCGGCCGTCTCCGAGATCGACGCGTGCCTTTCCGAGTCGATCGCTCGTGAGGTATCTCGACGCGAGCGATGATGGGATGCGCGAAGTCCCGGCGAAGGCGCGTTTGGTGTTGATGGTGAATCGCCCCTGGCCATCGGTGCCCGGCTCGATGACGGCCCAGACGATCGTGGATCCTCTGTCGTGATTGAGCTTGGTGCCGATGGTTAATCCGGATTGGTCGATGTCGATGCGGACTTCTCCTATGGAATCCGCGGCGTCGTTCTGGAAGGACTCGAGCGTCTCACGCAAGCGGTGCGCGAGCCAAGCGTTGAGATGATCCTGATCGATCGCGGCGGTCCAGTCTTCTTCGCCGACTGGTCGCACGCGCGTCAGCGCGCTGGTGATCCGGTTCTCGAGCTCGATGCCGGATTGCTCAGTGATATTGGGGTTGTTGTCGAGCTGTGTCCACCAGTTTGGGGTGTTGTTGAGTTTGCTGAGCTGGATAAGTGTCAGCACGCATAGCAGGACCACGGCGATCATGGCGCACACGATCGCGATCACGAATCGGTCGCGTGATCCGCTTTGGGATCGGGATGTGCGGCGCTTGCTCACAGGACCATCATAGAAAAACAGCCCGGGTTTGCCGGGCTGCTTTTGATATTCGGATCGAATATTTGAGTTCGCGGATTAACGCTTGGAGAACTGGAAGCGGCGGCGAGCACCAGGCTGGCCGTACTTCTTGCGTTCGACCTTACGAGCGTCGCGGGTGAGGTATCCGGCGTCGCGGAGCGCGGGCTCGAAGTTTGGGTCGTATCCGACGAGTGCACGAGCGATTCCGAGGCGGACGGCTTGTGCTTGTCCCATGTATCCGCCGCCGTGGCAGCGGACGAAGACGTCGAGCTTGCCTTCGGTGTCGGTCAGCTTGAGCGGAGCGACGGCGTCGGCGCGATCACGCATCTCGGAGAAGTACTCGTCGACGGTTTTGAACTTCTTGTTGTTGATCTGGATTTTGACTTCGCCCTTGCCTGCGTCTTGTGCAGGACGGAAGCGGACGCGAGCGACAGCGCGCTTGCGGCGTCCGGTTCCCCACCACCAGCCGTGCTTGTCAGCGGGCTTCGGGTCTGGGAGGACGCGTTCTTGGGTTTCGACAGGTCCGGTGTCGGCGACAGTCTCGCCGGCGAGGTCTGGGTTGGTGATGGTGGTTTCGTATCCAGCCATGTGTTCACTATCCTTTTCGTATCCGTCCGCATCCACGCATCTTGGTACACCCAAGACCGCTTTGGACGGTGGGGTGGTTCGTTAGAGCGCGATTGGGTTCACGCCTGCGTGTGGGTGCTCGGCGCCGTCGTAGACCTTGAGCTTCTTGAGCATCTGGCGTCCAAGACGGTTTTTGGGGAGCATGCGGCGGACAGCTTCTGAAACGAGGATGTCCGAGCGGCGCTCGCGAAGGTTGCCGAGGGTTTCTGCTTTCTGACCGCCGGGGTATCCGGAGTAGGTCAGTCGC